TTTGAGCGATAGTGAGAGCATTATTGAAATGCAGTAATTAAGATAAAAACTACAAGCTTCCCTATTTTCATACTTAATTCAAAATTAATCAAAATAACAAAAGAAATTAGGAATGGTTTTGCAGCTGTTGAATTGACTGCCTGGGTTTCCACTCCTTTTTCTCTCCCCATCTGTTGTCTATTGCCATACCCACAAAATAGAAGCTATTTTGAGGTAGGAAACTTTTTCTTACATCTTTAGTCCCATTACAATAAATGTAATTGGGACTTTTAAAGATTAGTGTAATTATACAGAGACAGTGCTTGCACCTCATGAGAATATTAAAACTAAAGTTTTTCTATAACGGATAGGTTGCCAAAACATGGTACACACTCAATTCAAAACATGATTAGAGAAGTCTGAAAATGAATTCTATCTACCCTTGTCTGCCCAAAGGTTGAAGCTATGTTATAAACTTAAGCCAGCGATGGGGAACCTGTGGCCCTCCAGATGTTTGGGGGGCCACATCGCCCTTATTCCTGACCATTTGCCATGGTGCCTGTGGCTGATATAAGGCGGAGTCCAATGAAATCTGCAGGGCCACAGCTTCCCTATTCCTGACTTGGGCCGGTTGCCCAGTAATTCCCCCCAGAACCATGATAACAATAGTTCTGGGAGCATGGTGGGGGCTTAGAGATTCATCATTCAGAATTATACCAAGATGTAATTGCCAGGATTCTGTGCAAAAATATGAGAGTCCCAGTGATGCAGAACTGTTAGATACTTGTGAGCAAAAGGTTGTCTCTTAAAACCATGCAATGCTTCCGCAAGGAGCAAGTCAGTCAGTGCAAGCAGTGGAGGGTTGTGGAGCCCCCTTTCAGGCATGGAGCAGCTCTTCAGAGAGCAGCAGGAGAGTTTCCAGTGACACACAGCTGAAATTTGGTATGGGCTGAATCAGACAGTACAGCATCATGACAATTTACAATCTGGGTTTTCTTGATTTCTTCTAGCAGGAAAAACAGCTGTGAAGGGAAAGTATGGGTGAGAGAGAATGGCTTGTCACCATCCCTTCCTCATTTTGGCTCACAATGCCTTTTTTTAATGGCCTCTCAACTGCTTCATAGGAAGTGGCACTAACTGCATTGTAGCATGTGGGTTTCTGGTTCATTCCTCAGGTTAGAAGAGAGAAACTGCAGGCCAAACATTGGGGTTGTATGGAAGCTCACTCCCTTGCCTAGCATCCCTTTTGTAGAAGTGAGCTGACAAGCAGGGAGCACTGGGATAATTCCATTTTAATACAGTGGTACCTCGGGTTACCTACACTTCAGGTTACATACACTTCAGGTTACAGACTCCGCTAACCCAGAAATAGTACATCGGGTTAAGAACTTTGCTTCAGGATGAGAACAGAAATCAAGCGGCGGTGGCGCAGCGGCAGCGGGAGGCCCCATTAGCTAAAGTCGTGCTTCAGGTTAAGAACAGTTTCAGGTTAAGAACGGACCTCCGGAATGAATTAAGTACGTAACCAGAGGTACCACTGTAGTTCATGTTGGCTTTTGTGTAGCTAAACTGACTGAAATCCACACACCTTTGATGAATTTCTTTGGGAATCAACTTGAATTTGACACAAGGAAGGACTAAATTAGAGAAGAGGCGAGGAGTTGACTTACTATTCTTGGTCAAAGAAGGGGATTGGCCCAAGAAAACCTGCAGGAAAACGTATTTCCTTTGGTGATGCCTTTTATAGGATGCCTGGGGTTACATAATAAATTGTAAAGTTATCAGATGCTTGGGCAATACGCAAGGTCTGTAACTGGAACTATTAAGGATATATTGCCTATTGGAAGTATCAGATATTTATTCAACTGCATATAATTAAATTAGAAAAGTAGAGAGGCCCGCTCATATTGTCACTGAAAGACTGCTAGCGGTAATACACTAATATATAAGGTACAATTCCATGTAATGGATAGTTTCTATCCCATTTTCAAATGACTTGCAGATGTATGGCTGTTGCAGCTGTTGCAGACCTTGTAATAGCATTAGGCTCTGACTCAGTCAGTTGGTGCCAATGAATTCTGGCAGCGTAACGTGTTTTGATATTCCCAAGAAGGGAACCACAGTCAATAACAGGCTAATGAGGAGAAACTAAACCAAGAAATGATAAGGCAGCTTTCATCCCACCAAGTTTTTAAAGCTATATTTCCTCCTGGGAGAAGAGGCTTATTATTAACCCATATTTACTGAAATCTACCTTTGAAGGAAACACTTGAATGTGTACATTGGCTCATGAAATATTTTTCACTCTTATTTCAAACTCTGTGAAAACATGAGGCACTTAAAATCACATTATGCCATGCACAAGGTTAATAGGAATGGGTTTGTAATGTTAAAATTTGGCATATAAGAAAGGTATTTTGCAGCTTTATTGAACGGGGCTCAAGGTTATTTATCAAAGTATTGTTTTGAGCACCTGAGTACTTGTAGTCTCCAAAGTCACTACCAAGAATACTACTTCTAGCACATTTTTTTTTGGGGGGGGGGGTGTTTAAAGAAAACCTTCCTACCAAAAAAGGAGGATTTTATCAGTAAGAATGATTTAATATTAAACACTACACACTGTGAATGGGCTTGTTTCAATCTTCTCATATATAAAATATATCAGGAAGCAGAAGCACATTTATTTTTATGAGCAGAGACATTCCAGTTACAAGGAGCAGCATAGCAGAAAGGGGGGTGGGAGAGTTCGACTGTTTTTACTTATATTGCTCATAAAGCAGGATTATGTGAAATAAACCCTAGAGACAGAAGCAACTGAATTCTCTGCTGCGATTAGCACAAGACAGTGCATGCAGAATATGACTTTTATTACTACAACCCCAGATATTTTGGAATATTTATGGAACTTACTGGTTACAGTTGACAAAATAAACTAAGTTCACAGCTGCTCAGATAATTTGTGCTGTCTGTGCAACCATTACAAAATCATATTAATAGATAAAGGCTTTCTGGCTATTTCCCCTCGAGTTGATTATTCTGACACTAGTACTTCATTCACATCTTTACTACATATTACTGTAAATGCCACCCAAGTAAGTTAACATATTACATTTTTATAAAAAATATATTGTATGCTGCGTACTTTATTCCAGCTTTATCAAATAAAAAACCCATTTGCAACCCTGTCCATTAGGAATTCTCAAGATTTTGAAAGATTTAACAACTTGCCGACCCCAGAACCAAAAGGACAAGTGTAATACCCATTAATTATTTTAAATCAAGCTTTTTAATCACTTTCTTTGTATCATATGTGCTTTTGTTTGTTTTCTTAGAGCTTCAAAGCGGCTCACAACTTTCACTGAATGCATGGCTTGGCCTACTTCCTTTACTCTCCTGGTTGTTGTAGCCCAGTTTTTCTTACATGGCTGCTGTGGGTAGAGAAAGTTCTTTCAGGATTTAGGGCGTAATAGTCTTTCCCCCCCCCCCACAAAACCCCCACAAAAAATGGGCACTTTGATTTTTCAAATGCAAGCAAACTACTTCTGGTTCCACACTTATGGCCAACAGAGACCAGAAGGTATATCATAGAAAGCTGACTGAAAGTAAGGCAGACCATTGCTCCATCTAGCCACAGCTTCCAGAAATGGATGGGCCTTTTTGCTTGGAGGTGACAGGGCTGAACGAGTATCTTCCCCAATGCCTCTTTGTGAATTCAGAGTTGAAATTTTAGCTTTCCCGGTTCACCTTACCGGGCACTGTAATGCATGAGAACTCTGGTCTTAAGATTCTGTTCTTCGTTCTTTCGAGAACATTTATCAAGACCAAACATAATTCCCAACATAATTAGGTTCCTGAACCTAATGGACAGTTTTACATAGATAACATAAAATTTAATTACATCACTTCCACACTAATGTAATAGAACATTAGTGACTGTGTAAATAAAGTGTTTGTCAAAAATAATTTACATACTGTTAAGCTTTTCCCATCAAAACGAATACAGGCATCCATCACACATTTCAACAGTCTCAAGCAGAAAAATATTTCTAGTGGGAAATGCTTTTAACTCCAATGCAAGGGTTTTCCTAAAGCATGAAGGAATTCAACAGAACATTGGAGCATTACTTGGTTGAGATGGAGTGTGTACTGTATATGGTATTTCCTGTGCAGCATAGCGAAAGAGGATTATGAGATGGGCTCAGGATGCATTATCTACAGTAACTGGTTTGGGTGCAGGTTTGTGGCAGGGGAAATTGTGTCTTCCAGGCATGAAAAAAGCAGCCACTGGCATTTCATGTACCAATGGTGTCAATATAAATGATTCTCATAGGTTTAGAATAAGAGAGGGAAGGCCCTTGAAGCTCATCTAGCCCAGGCATAGGCAAACTCAACCCTCCAGATGTTTTGAGACTACAATTCCAATCATCCCTGACCACTGGTCCTGTTAGCTAGGGATAATGGGAGTTGTAGTCCCAAAACATCTGGAGGGTTGAGTTTGCCTATGCCTGCCTGATCCAGCCCAACCCTCTATCACTGCAGGAAATCCCCCATTACTCCAGTATGCCATAAGTGGCCATCCCAGTTCAGCTTTAAAATGTTTAACAAAAAAGAGTCTCTCCAAGAGTCTGCTTCTCTGACAAACAACTCATACTAAGTTATTCTAATAACACTTTTCTGGCAATTTGAAGCCTACCCTCTGAAGCAACAGAAAACCCTGTTTCCCATAATCTATGTGACAGCCCTTCAAATATTTGAGGATGACTTTTTTATTTTTTCATTCACAAGCACTCTTGCACACCCTTCATCATATGAACACATGGTATGTTGCAAAAGAATAATACAATTTATGCATTTTTGTTTAGGCAAACCTATCCATATATGCAAAATACTGACATGTGTTTTTACCTGTTTTCCACTTGTTGGTTTTAATCATTTTCTGAATGTTTTAAATAATTTTAAACTATTTTTGCTGATAATGTCATTGTTTTATTCTTTTTGTAAACAGTTTTGAGGTTTCCCCCCCCCTTCAATCAAGTGGTGCATAAATTAATGAATGAAATGGGGAAAATTATAGAAAACAAATTAAACAGTTCAAACCAAAACATTTCACCCACAAAAGAATTAAGCCAAAGGAAAGAGAATTTTTTAATGTCATACAGGATGGGAACATGTCTCCATTTTTATTTACAAACTTGTAAAAACCCTTTTATTACAGTTCCAGTTCAATTAAGATCATTATTATAGTCATCCATTGACTTCTAAGGAAAAGCCAAGCATGTTCCCTATGCGTATTTCTGTTACAGTGCGCAGAATTGTAACAGCTAGAAAATATTAGTATTGACCTGACAAAGTGCTCTTTGTTTGAGTTACATTGTATCAGACCAGCAAGACAGTTAACTTACACGTCTTTCTTGTTATTTTAACAGCTTGACTGAGAAAGTGACTATAGAGGAAAAATTTGCACAGCAGAGGCCCCTTTTGATTTGTTTTAAGCATTTGTGCCCTACGCTTCAGCCAAAAAGGCTTTCCTAGAGCGCTTACATACATTCAGTTAAAACAAGACAGTCCCTGCCCACAGGTTTACAATCTAAAACACACAACACCAAAAGGGAAGGAAGGCCCTTTTTGTGATCAGAATTCCCACAGTTCCAATAAGTTTGTACAAAGGCCTGCCATAAGTGTTATGTGACCATTAAATTGCCCACTCAACATGTTACAACTATTATCACGGGATCCACAGGAAAAGTACCGGTAAATAATTCATGTCAGCTTCCTAGACAGGGTCTTGGGGTGGTCCGTCCCACCCCCCCACCCCCAGTAGAATGAAATCAGTGGATTTCCAGAATAAGAATGATTATGGCTAAAAGGGAGTTATTGCAGTATATCTTTGCTCCCCTATTGTGTAGGAGCGAAGCCATTACACTGCCAGTATGTTGCGGTGTATACGATGTATATCTAAAAATTGGGCCCAACTTTTCTAAATCTGTGCCACAACGAGTTTCCCTCAATCCAGGAAGCAACTTTCAAACTTTCCTAAATGTAACCTTAAGGAAACAAAGCCCACTGTTCATCTGGAAGTGCTCACTCTCCTCTTCAGCCCTGGAGAAGATCAAAGGAACAGGAAGAAAGGAAGTTCACATGGCGTAGGGAAAAGTTCCTTTGTAATCAAGAAGCCTGCAAAAAAGATTGCCCAAATGACCCTCAATTTAGACAATTTAAGGGCTAGATTAAGCACTTTGTAGCGCAAACCAAGGCAACCATGCAGCAAACCTTTCTCTGGCTCTTTATGGGCCCTAGAAAAGCTGCTGTTCCTCTATCCATAGAATACCTTCTAGCAGAATTAAGCATAGCAATTCCATAGCCCAGGAGAGTGAAAGAATCATTAATATTTTAAGGATGTAAAGTGAGTATTTGAAATTGTAAAACAGAAATATATATATAGAGAGAGAGAGAGAATGAGGGAAAGAATCCGCCATAAAATGGTTTTCTTTTCATTACAGCATTTTTCAGTGATTTTTTTTTAATGCAGCTGGTGAAGAGGCTTTGAGCTGGTGTTGCGCTAGGAGGAAACTGGAAGCAGAATAAAGCTTTTTATCCAGGAATGGGGAGCTTGTGACCCTCCAAGTTTGACCCTTTCACTCTCTTCAGCCCCAACTAGTATGACCAACAGTCAGGGGTGATGAGAGCTGTAGCCCAGCAATATCTGGGGAGGCACAGCTTCCCCATCTCTCATCCAGATCCAGCGTTCCAGTATATTTCTCTACTGCAAATGAAGTTTTGTTGTTGTTGTATGTCACAAGGACTTCCATTTAATTTGTACCCTAGGACTCCTACCAGCTTTAATCTGGCCCAATTTAAAATGTGGATCTTGCAGCCATTATGTTTATTGCATGGCAGGAAGGCGATTGTCACACAGTCTTTTAATCCAATCAAAACTGTGCTGGCTCAGAATGAGGCTGATCATTTATAATACACATCACTCACTTTGAAATGGGTTGTTTCAATTGTTCATCATGTTTTGTTGTTAAATGGCAGTAAACCACATGCTATGTTCATCCTCGCCTCCCTGAAACAGCCTCCTTCCTGAGATTCAGACAGAATAAATGGCTAACAATTGTTTCCTTCTCTTTAAATCATTTACTCAGTCTAAATCTTTCTCTGCCTTGCTGCAAACTTCCTTTCTCTTCCTTGGAAACTGAAGTTTGCTGATCAACTGTCTCTTAATCCTTCCTTTTCTTTCTCCCTTCCTTCATGGGAATCCTTCAGTAATTAACCAGTAAGTGACATGATTTCTAGTGAAACTCTGGCCCCATGTCCATTGCTCTCTTGAGTATCATGTCAGCATTCTGCTGTCATGACTACATAGTAACCCCATTATTCACACTTGGCTCTTTCGTGCTTTAGTTAAAAATGTGTTATTCTGACTGCTCTACCAGACAAGACAGCAGCTTGTTCTCCAGAATAGAACCAGAATTACAGTGGGAACCAGTTTCCCCTAGTACTTTCAGCTAAATCCTTAGTCATTTGTGTTACTACCAGAACACGGAGAAGTAGGCAGACATGCTTAGAGAAAAGAATCCCAAGCAGAAGAAGTAACATATAATGGACAGCCACTGAATATCTAAAGGAAAATTCTTTTACAGACTGTCCTTTCAACTGTTCACTTGAGAAGTGCAGAGTTAAATACCTTCCAAACAAAGGGCAGTGATTGAAGACTTTAAAAAAAGTATAAAAGACACAATGTACCATTCCATGCAACCGTTTTTAAACCTGAAATAATATGGGAAACCCTATTTTACACTTTATTTTCTTACTCTTTCTTTTTAAAAAAGGAATGTATTGCAAAAATGCAAACCCAAAGGCTTAAAAGGTGCCCCATGCTATAATTTGTAGAGGAGTCAGAGGTTTAACAATTGAGTTAAAGGGAACTTATCCCTAAGAAAATGTATTAACTAATTAGCAGTATAACTTAACAAAATACTTTTTTTTTTTGTGGTGGTGGGGTCATGACACTGGATCAGTTTCACAATGTTTTTGGTGCAACTATTTTCTCCCCAGCCCTCATCAAAAGACACGGTGGTTTCCTTCTGCATTTGGAAGAAGGTATTGCAAGTATTTACTATGCACATTATGTATGACCAAGGTGGCGTTGGTGAACAGCAGCTGTTAGCACCACCTGTTAAACATGACAGTGACCAATAGACTTGAAATAGAGGAAATGTGTGACTTATTATGGGTGACATCCAACTAAGTCTTACTCATAGTAGACCAATTGAGATCACTGTATCTACTCCCAGTAGATATTTGGTTGTACAGCACTTTATATTTATATCCCAAGAGTTCAGGAAGCCTCAAAAGCTTTAAAACAGGACTTAAATGTGAAAATTTGCAACCATTAGCTAAGTAGAAACTGCACTTAATTCTTTCGCTTTCTTTTTTTTATATACTTGATCATTCAGACCTACTAAGATGGCCTTTATTGCAATATCAGCTGTACAAAACCTATGAAGGTCAAGGACACCTGGAGAGGCAATCACAGCAACTGCTTCTCCTCTCTTTTGGAGTTTCGCCAAAGCTCAAGCATTTTCCAAAAGCAATGCCAGCCCTTTTTCATTTGGACGGGCATTTGGTGGCTGGGAGTTAAGCCAACAGGGAGTTATTTTAAAAGTGGCTATGTTTTTATTTTATGTCCTTACTTTTTTTCTGTTGTAGAAATGCTACCTGCTCTGATACTTTGCAACACTGTGAGATACCTAGAAACATTACAAATAGAATTATTGTTATATCCTGGTTGCTGATGCCATACTGGAATTTTCCTTGAGTCTAAAGACCCAGCTGGTTTTGCCTAAGGTAAAGGTAAAGGTACCCCTGCCCGTACGGGCTAGTCTTGCCAGACTCTAGGGTTGTGCGCCCATCTCACTCTATAGGCCGTGGGCCAGCGCTGTCCGGAGACACTTCCGGGTCACGTGGCCAGCGTGACATCGCTGCTCTGGCGAGCCAGAGCCGCACACGGAAACGCCGTTTACCTTCCTGCTTGTAAGCGGTCCCTATTTATCTACTTGCACCCGGGGGTGCTTTCGAACTGCTAGGTTGGCAGGCGCTGGGACCGAACGACGGGAGCGCACCCCGCCGCGGGGATTCGAACCACCGACCTTTCGATCGGCAAGCCCTAGGCGCTGAGGCTTTTACCCACAGCGCCACCCGCGTCCCCCTGGTTTTGCCTACCTTAGTCTAAAGATGGTTAGCTGAACAACGGTTACTCCCATGTACACATTTATAAATTTTCATTTATCACAAAGTTTGCAATATCTGCTTACTTTTGGGGGGGTAATGCCCTTGAACATATAAAACAGTAAATAAATACTCAACAATAATTTGTGGAAAAATACTATTGGTTGTTTCCAATAGTGGCTTTGTGATAATAAAACGGTTCAACTGATGCAAGGAGAGGAACTCTATTTTCACTAATTCTAACTACCAATTGCAACCTTCAACCTTCTGTTTATGCCTTATCGCAGGGGTAGGCAACCTGAGGCCCGGGGGCCAGGTGTGGCCCAATCACCTTCTCAATCCAGCCCCTGGAAGGTCCGGGAATCAGTGTGTTTTTACATGAGTAGAATGTGTGCTTTTATTTAAAATGCATCTCTGGGTTATTTGTGGGGCATAGGAATTCATTCATTTTTTCCCCCAAAATACAGTCCAGCCCACCACATGGTCTGAGGGATGGTGGACCACGGCTGAAAAAGGTTGCTGACCTCTGCCTTATCAAAACCCCTTCTGCTCCAGAGGGTCTCCCAACCACCAGGAGCAGATTTTGGGAGACCCAAAGGGCTGCGCTGGGTAAAAATTGTGAGTAAAACCCAAGTGCCTTGCCCAACACAGGAAGTGTATCTGCTAGCTGGAAGCTATCATTGGATGCAATTCTCTAATTCTGCCTGTTTAAATATTTATCTGTTCCCTTAAAGTTTGCTCATGTGCAAGCATGAGCACTGCTAGACTCATCTGGCCTATTCCAACCCAAGTGGTAAAATGTTTGGCACTAATTTTTCTATCTGATGAAAGAGTCTTATGGACAGCTTGTGCCGCAATAAGTTGTCTAGTCTTGAAGGTGCAGCAGTATTTTTTTCTTTTACAAATGTTTAGATTTCTTAATAAATAACATACAAGTTTTGTTATCAATTTTATTTTGAAAAGGTTGCCTGATTGCTAGCCCACAGCCTTTAACATCCAACACAGTTGCACTGTTTTTAATGGGAATAGACAGCTGGGCACAGCAGCTCAAGCCTAATAAAGTCCCAACGTTTACGAAACTCCAGCCATTGTGAAAGGAAAATAGATGGATCATTTATTTATTAATCTACCCAATTTATGCCTGAAGGCTCAAGGTAAGCAACAGTTTGTTGACCCTGCAAACGAAGAACTACCGTAAATGTTTATATAAGTAGGTAGATCCCTATTCACGTCTACCAAATGTTTGTAGTTTACACATCTCTGCTAAGAACTACTTCTGATTGAGCTTTTATGGGCAACAGCCTATTTTCTCATATGAGCACAGATTAAGGAGGTGGTGCTCACTTCTGTAGGATTCAGTGGAAAGTAAAACAGCAACTAAAGAGGCCAGATATACAACATGTCAAGGGTGTGCATTTTCTTTTATCCCCACCTTTCAAGCCAGAGAAGGCTGGAAGCGAAAGTAGAGAAGGGCTGGCTTCCAGAGATGCTTCCCATGCTTTGTTTTCACTCACTCTTATGTTTGTAACCTTTCTCTAACAAAGTTTTTATAGTGGAAGGCCAAGATACAAATACGTTAAAAGATACAAATACGAAAATCCCAATCAAAAGCCGAAACTAGTATGTATGACTGTTCTCAGTTAAGCTCCTAAAATTTTATGTATAGCTCCCCAGCCCTTTAACTACCTGTTATCGAACTACTGTATAAAAAGGATAAGTAGCGTTTTGAGGAGAGATGGGCCGCAATCCTTCTGCCGTTTTCAGTGGTCTTGCTTGCCAATGAACAACACGATCCGAATAAAGAATGGCAAAGTCACAACCAACAGACCGGTACTGCTGATCGCCACCCGAGGCTGCTTTCTTCCCAATAACTGAAGCCGAAAGTTAAAAATACTGGAAAGGGGTGGGGGGGAGATGCGCCTGTTTTGCTTCTCCATTTTTTCTAAAAAATTACTGTTTTAGAGCTCATCCACCTCTTACGTAGGGTAAGTGAGATAATAACACGAAGGAAGTCGCGGCTTCCTCACGGCACTGGTCAGCCAAGGGCTCCCCTCGCATCTCGGCCCACGGGGCTCGCCTCGGCCATCTCCCACTGAGGGAAAGGCAGCTGACGTCATGCGCGGCTTCGGCCTGTGGGCTATATGGCTCCCAAGGGACGGAGCCTTTTGCCGACGACGCCCCACCCGACACGCCGCCGCCTCAGGCACCCCTTCCACCTCCGAGTCCCTCCAGACCAAACTGAAGGAAGCGGGAAAGGGCGTCCGAAGAGAGGTGCGTGGCGCCCCCCGCCCACTTCATGAGTATTCATAAGCATGCTGCGGCCGCGCGCAGAGGCCCGAGAGGGCGGCACCTTTGCCACCGCCCCGCCCCTTCACCGAGGCGTGCGTCGCGGTGGGCGTATCTAAAAACACGACGTGCCCCGCTCCCTCGCTGAATATTGATGAGACGCCTGGTGCAGCGCGGTGGCGTCCGGCGCGGCGCGGCAGGCGATTGGATGAGGCCGTGTGTGCGTGGTGACGCGCGTCGCGGCGGTGCGGGTCCCGATTGCTGCAGCCGCTTGTCAGTGTGACGAAGATTGGCACTCAGGTAAGCGCTGTCACTCAAACCTGCTCCTAGCCAGCCAGCCATCCATCACGGCGCGCCCGCCGCCGCTGTCGGCCGTCTTGGCTCCGCCGCGCAAACAGGCCCGGGGATGTGGGGCAGAGTGGGGGGAGGCGAGCCCGCCATACGGAATAGCGGGGCGGGGGCATCCGCACCGTAACCTACCCGGAGGGGGGGGGGTTAGGGGCGTCGGCAGGCAGGCGCGAGGAAAGGGAGGGGAGGGGGGAGTGAGGAAATTTCTGGAACAGCCGCCGACTGGCCGTTGGCTTTTGTAGGAGGCGGCGCGTGCGCGCGCGCGCTCACTCCGTGGAAGGGGAAGGTGTCGCGCGCCTCAGGGGGTGGAGTAGGTATGGGGGGGAGGGAAAGGGCAACAGCTGTTTGTGGCGCGAGGCGGCGCGGAGGGCGGTATTTAAAAGGGGGCCATTTTCGGGGACATTCCTGCGCTGTGGACTCGGAAGCGGCGGGGAGAGCCGGGGGGGGGGGTTGTGGCAGCTGCTTGGTGGTCGCTCCGCGCGTCCGTTTGCTTCCTCGAGCGCGGTTCGGGCTCCCTCCCCGTGAGGGAAGAGCCTTTCTTCGTCGTTTCAAACAACCCTCCTTTTCCTCACCTCACAAACCGGGGCGGAGGGGCGCGGGCGGGTACGCAACGTTGTTAAGTGTTGGGAAAATCCATGGGAATTGTCGTTATGTGTAACCCGGTTGTTGCTAATAAACGTGAGGCGTTTTGCCGCCTCCTGGTTTCTGAGCGTTTCTTTTTTCCCAGATGTTTGCTTAGTGACCTCCCTTCAGTCCTAACGAAAGCCAAGAATATGTATTTCACATAAAAAAATAGTGGTGGAGACGTAAATACACCCATACACGATAGAAAAGACTAAAACAACAGATCATCCACCTGTCCCCTGAGTAAATGTTAACAGTTTTTTACTTGGCTATATATGGGAGAAGATATCTTTGGAACTGGCATTGAAAGTGCAAGTGCCAACTTCTGACAGAACTGGGAAAGTATGACATTTTCCTTGATGCAAGTACCACTTTAAAAAAAAAAAGTGTGTGTGATCATGTTCTCCAGGCTCAGCTTGATTATGATGTTGGTAAACATCATGAGGTTCACTATTCTTTCACTAGGTCATTGCCTATAACCCTGTTCAGGTTCCAGGGTTCAAATGCATTAATCAAGAAACCAAGAAATAAAATGATTTAAATTTTAAATGGTAACGGCTGTCTTTTAAAAACACATTGAAGAAAAAATTGCTTCAGAGCTTCTCTTGGGCATCCCTTCAATTCATTTTTGAAAAGCAGTATATGTAACACAACAGTGCTGGGATTTAAGAAAAACACCAAATTTTAAAGGATATGTGCTGGTTTGCAGGCACTCAAATTCAGAGGCTAGGAGAAATTGCCTCACCAAGCTGACGATCTGCAACTGACTGTTGCCCTTGCCTACAATTCTTACTAGTTTTGTGTTATAAGTGGAAGTATGCATGTTTTGTGCTAAACCATCATACAAGAGTTCTGTATATAAATAAATGTATATTCTGTACCAAAAAGGGCTGATATCTTGACATGTATAAATCAAACAAATGTAACAGATTTGCATGGATTTGCTAATTTTGCATAATTTTCTTGGTCACTTTGGGGAGAGCGTGGTAGATACATTAAGAAAGCCATTTGAAATGCACTCCAGCAATCTTGTTCAGCTGTTCCATCAATGTCAGCAAGAATTGTCTATATACTTTCAAGCCTATCTTTGCAAACCTAACAGAAATGTCATATTTTTAAGGGAAACTAAGATTCTCAGGATATTTAATTCTGGACTTGTGAGTCGCATTACAAAAATATGTGCAGAGCCCTGACTATAAGTTTAATAAGTAAACATTGACATTTGGTCATGACTCACATGAATAAAGAGAATAAAGTCATTCTCAAGGACACTAGATTCTGAAAGATTGGTATGCAAAACTAGCTCAGATTTGCATATAAATTGAGCCATGTGAAATACTTGCAAAAGATGCTCCTGTACTGGGGATTGAGACTGGTGTTGCTATTGCCAGTATGCACATAACCTTAGTAGCTGGTAATCAGTGGAGGCTGGTATAGAACTGTGACCTTATCTAAAGAGGTCAGAACTTGACTCACTGTACCACCCAGTACAGATTATGTTAATGAACTTTACATGAGGCAGCATTTGAAGATGATTTAGAAACTTCAGCAGTGCAAAATATGGCTACCCTGTTACTAGTTGGGACTAGGAGGTCAGAACAGATTGCACCAAATTTGTACCACTTACCTTGGTTGCCAGTGTGTTATCTTGAAAAAAAAGCTTTAAAAAATGTGGGCTGGATGTGGTAACTGTTGGGTGAATTTGTAGCTGATTGACCGAATCCAAAGAGTGCTCACTAATGATTCCTCTTCAGGAAAAAAAAGGGACAAGGGAGGGGCCACAGGGTTCTCCCTAGGTCCATTGTTCAACATCTTTATAAATGACTTGGATGAAGGTGTTGAGGGGATGCTCATCAAATTTGCAGATGACACCAAAATGGGAGGGGTAGCCAATACAGCTGAATATAGAATCTGGATTCATGATTACTTTAACAGATTGAAGAACTGGGCCCAAACTAAAAGAATGAATTTCATTAGGGACAAATGTAAGGTTCTACACTTAGGTAGATCTCAGATCAGATGTGAGAACACGCTGAATTTAAGCATATTGGAGGAAAATAAACAGGATTCCCTCCATAACAGTGAGTGAATACTTAGGTAGGAAGAACCAGCTGCACAAATCTAAGATGGAGGCCACCTGGATTACCAAGTAATATATGTGAAAAGGCTCTAGGTTTACCAGTAATATAACTGAAAAGGCTCAGTAGACCATAAACTTAACATGAGTCAACAGTGTTACGTAGTAGCAAAGAAAGCAAATGCTGTTGTAGGCTGCATCAACAGATGGATAGTGTCCAGATCAAGGGAAGTAATAGTCCTGACCACACCTGGAGTACTGTGTCAAGTTCTGGGCAGCACAATTTAAGAAAGATATTTACAAGATGGAATGTGTGCAGAGGAGGGTAACCAACATGATAAAGGGTCTGGAAACCAAGCCTTATGAGAAACAGTTGAGGGAATTGGATATGTTTAGCTTGGTAAAGAGAAGATTGCGAGGAATCACAGAATTGTGGAGTTGGAGATACGATAGCCATCTTCAATAATAATAATTTTGTACCCCACCTATTCGACTGGGTTGCCCTAACTACTCCAACATAATATATAGAAAGGGCTATCACATGGAAGAGGGGACGCGGGTGGCGCTGTGGGTAAAAGCCTCAGCGCCTAGGGCTTGCCGATCGAAAGGTCGGCGGTTCGAATCCCCGCGGCGGGGTGTGCTCCCGTTGTTCGGTCCCAGCGCCTGCCAACCTAGCAGTTCGAAAGCACCCCCGGGTGCAAGTAGATAAATAGGGACCGCTTACTAGCGGGAAGGTAAACGGCGTTTCCGTGTGCAGCTCTGGCTCGCCAGAGCAGCGATGTCACGCTGGCCACGTGACCCGGAAGTGTCTCCGGACAGCGCTGGCCCCCGGCCTCTTGAGTGAGATAGGCGCACAACCCTAGAGTCTGTCAAGACTGGCCCGTACGGGCAGGGGTACCTTTACCTTTATCACATGGAAGATGGAGCAAGCTTGTTTTCTGCTGCTCTGCAGGCTAGGCCCTGAACCAACGCATTCATGTTATAAGAAAGGATATTCCAACTAAACACCAGTTATAACTTTCTGACAGAGCTATTTGACAGTAGAATAGACTCTCACAAGAGGTGGTGGACTCTTCTTCCTTGGAGGTTTTCAAGCATTTTTCACATGTGATTTAGTTGAGATTCCTGCATTGCAGGGAGTTGGACTAGATGGCCCTCAGGGTCCCTTCCAACTCTATAATTCTTTGATTCTATGAACCATGCTAGCCTGCCCACACAAGGAAATCCAAATTAAAGGGCCTACTCAGGTACTTACCACCCAAAACCAACCAGGCTGATAAAAAGTCCAAGAAGGCAGACTCTATCCCTTACGTCATTTAAACAGGTCTTGAAGACATTTTTTCTGTGTCTTTTAATGACACAGAGTAGGTTATACTGGTAAATGCAGTTTTAACACAGGTCTCACTGAGCTTTATTGTTTTATCACTGTTGGAGTTTTTTTTTTCCCCTTTAGTATTTAAAATTTGCTATTTTAAATAGTGTATATGCTGTATTTCAAGTTTGTATTTTTAGATGTGAGCTCCTCTGTGGAGCATGTTTTCAAAATGTGGATTATAAATCCTTTGAGTGAATAAATATGCTGTTGACTTTCCACTGTATTGGTCTATCCCAGGCTGGAAGTAGTGCAGTGTTGCTTCTTCCATCCTTAGGATACCAGTGCAATAGCCCAGTGGAAATACTGCTTGTGTGCTTGCTGCATGGAAAACATTTCTTGATTTTAGTGTGCAACTGTGTATAATTGTACCTTTAAGTTCTGATGAATTCAGACTTGCAAGATTAGGTCTTAGAAAGAAGTAATTTTAATTTGGGTTGCTACTGTTTTGTTCAGCAAGCATATGTAGATGGCTAAGCTGAATGCCAATTATGATATCTGAAATTATTCAGCAATGATGTGTGCACAGCTTGGTTCCCATATCTAAATTTCTACACTCTGCTATTATTGATCTCTTCATTCAAGATTTGTGGTCAGATTGCAGGTGCCCAAGCCACTGTGTCACTCACAGGAGAGACGCGTGGCTTGGGTACGCTGCAGGCCCCATGGTAAGTGCTGCCCCTGCAGTGTGGCGCCCAGTGCTCCCCTAGCTACGCCTCTGCGTAGTGAAAGGAGAGTACATACACATCCAACACCACAAAAAAACTCGCATTTGGGGTTCTAATAATTTGTGTTATTGTAAGGCTGTCATTGTGCAGCCTCATTTGGAGGATTACTAGTACTGCATTACAATCCTGGATTTGCATGCAGAATGAGGTGGGGAGCAAAAAAGAAGGCAGTTTGCACAATAGCAGTCACCATGACAGAAAGGGGTGAAGGTGAAAATGGAGGTGCAATGGGGGTTGTAAAAAAACAAGGGAGTGAGAGGTGTGGTAAAGCTGTTGAAGATTAAAGCAGGGGCATGAAAGGGTTTGAAGAAAAGAAGGGGGTGGTAGCTTCATGATGGGATGCAAGGTAAAAGTGTATGGGAAGAGGAAGATGCAGGAGTTACCATGGTGGTGGTTTGTGTGCAAGAGGGTGCACAAAGGCAGTGGGGAGATGAAGGTGAAAATGGATGCAAAAGGGAACCTCAGAAGTGAAGGGGAAAGTGGCTTGAGAAATGGGTTTGGGAAGGTGGAAAGTGATCATAGTAATTGCATGGGGTAGGAAGGGGATGCTCTAAGGGCAAGTAGAGTGAGCAGGGGTGCAACCCCTAGTGAAATATAAAGTGGCAAAATGCTTAACAGTTTTTCTGAAGTGCATTTTGCAGGTCATATATCCTAGAGACAACGCCACTGAAAAGTCAAACCTATTATAAGTTAAGTCTCATTGGATAATGTTAAGGGGCAAAATACTTAGTAGTAAGGAGTTGCTCAAGTTCCTATTTTAGTGTTTGAATGCCATAGTATTGTGTTGTTTTGTGCAATCAGCTTTTTACTGGGGAAATCATTTTGGTGTGAACATGTCTACAGTATTTGCTATCAAGGTAAGAGACTCATCAGAAAAGAACTCCAAGTGAATAGAAAATTAGGAAAAAATATAATTATGAAACCAGTTTAATGTATCAGTTGAGACTTCAGTTACTTGTAGTAAATTGTGATTGAAGTACCATAACTCTTATAGAGTAAATATGAAATCAGTTACCCAGTCCTTGCTGGCAAATTAAAAAACAGCTCATTAGCTGAGGAAATTCCTCACCCTAGAACCAGCCCAGGGGTTTTAATCTCTTACGGTCAGTGCTTTTTTTCTTAAAAAATGTTTAGGGTACTCTCATTTTCCTACTCATTGAAATACTGCCTCTCAATGAGGCCAAACATAGATTCACAAAATGTTTAGGGGTATGTGTACCCCGGTGTCCCCCCATAAAAAAGCATTGCTTATGGTAGCCAGCAACTTTTTGAAATTACCATTTGAAATTGTACACTAAGGATTGCAAGATTTCTTCCAAAGTTTTCCCCAGGGAAGACTGCCGAAAATAGAGGCGCTACTAACAAAATAGATTGCAATTCCTTTGGGAATCTCTTCTCTCATGATCTTACGTGTCTCCATTACATTCTCTAATCCAGTATGAGGTAGTAAATGAAAGGCTACTTCCTGAGAACTTAGGCATGTATATATATTTAAACAGAGCCCTATCTGTCCCAAAATTGATTTGTTTGAAGTACATTTCCAGAACAAAACTTAAAACTGGGGCATTTGCTTCACATATCTTTCTGGTTAATGAGCTAACAGCATGAATAAGATATGTGTAAAACCAGTAGACACAGTAGTTCTGATGGCTACTTTCTATCTCTAAAGTTTGAGAACTTTCAGGACCATGCTTAGTCAACAGGTTGAGAAACAAGCTCATGAGAGCCACAGATTATGTTTTGCACGTTGATGGATACAGATGAAAGCAGCCTGATAGCAATGGTGCTGGACAGTGAAGCTTCCTGGTGTATGAAAAGCTTGAGAGCCTCTGTTACAAGAGCTGTTTGTTGTTGACAACCTGTATTTTATGTAGATTGTTTCCATATGGCTTTCTTGTGGCTCTTTGTGGCTCCAAATTTGGCAACATTTTGCTTGTTGCCCACTCCTATCCCCATTGAATGTGTGTGTGCAGGGTGGGGAGTGAGTTTTCAAAGGAATGATAAGTTTTTGCTTGCTTTCTATGCTATTTTGCTTGCCTAGGGAAGAAAAATGGAGGCTTCTCTGCTTGTTGCTGAAAATGCATATGAAAATAAGCAAAGGAAGATAAACCTGACCACCAGAAATTCTTCAGGTGAAACTTCTCCCAGCATAGTTGCAGTTAGTAATTTGGGAACAAATTATGCTCTTCTAATGTAAAAAGTCTCCATGTTGCGTCTCCTGCATGTTTTCTGCAGTATCTGATGCATCATGTGAGTGATCTTTGCATTTTTAGTGCACAGATTATATATCTTCACAATGTATATCCTCAAGGGCTGTGTATGCCTGCATCTGTGTGCTGATTCACACATTTAAACTGGCTGCTTATTTCATCCATAGGGACTCTGTGAATCAGGTTGTACACCAAGCTTTACAATGTACACAGATATAATATGTAGCAGGAGAAAAAGTGTCCCTGTAGTAGGAGAAACGACTGATGCCAGGCTGTATTTTTGTGCAGCCCAGTTTACACAGGTTGTGCTGCATCAACTTTTCCAAACCTGTTCCTGCAATATGCTTTAGACCAGGCATCCCCAAACTTGGCCCTCCAGCTGTTTTGGGACTACAATTCCCATCATCCACGACCATTGGTCCTGTTGGCTAGGGACGATGGGAGCTGAAGTCCTAAAACAGTTGGAGGGCCGAGTCTGGGGATGCCTGCTTTAGACTATTAACACCCATCCATCATCCCTCACCACTGGTCATGATGGCTGGGACTGATAGCAGTTGTACTCCAAAACATTGTAGGGCATCACATTAGGGAAAGTTGCTTGACATGTGTATGAAAGAAAAGAAGCAGCTCACTGTACCAAATTCCTAATGGGGCTTAGTAATATCATCCACAATGATGATGTGGAGGAGTCTGCCCCTTTTGGGATTTCTGGCTTGCTGGACTCAATGCTCCCTTTGGCATACAAAGAGACACCACCTCTGTGTAGCATATACACATGAGGAAAGCTATATGTGTTCTATGTGAGAAATGCCAGGAGTTTTATAGTTGCTATTCCTTGTTGCAGCCACCGAAAAATATATGTGTCTATGTGAGAGATTCCCTTTGTTTTTAAAATTATCATAATTGTTCCTTAGTGCTGCTACTAGATGATTTTCAACTTTCTTTATAACCTCCAAATGTAAAAAGAGATCTAACTTCAGGGTATGTGCCATCTGGTCTTGTGACTGCGACCAGTATCAAATATTCTTTAAGAGGGAATATTTTGAAAAACAAGAATTTTCACAGTGGGTTTGCATTGTTCATTGTCCTGCATTCTTTTGTCATACATCCCTTTTGACATTTTTATTTTTGCTAGTGAAACCACTATATGATATTCATATATTAAAGTTTGATCTTTTATTTTGTGCCACTAACTTGTGATTTTAGTTGCGTGTTTGTTGTGCAACTCTTTATTGTAATAAAGAGCAAGATCAAGTGGCTAACCATATTGCATTTATCACTTTTTCTGGCAAATATGATTTAATAGTCACCTTGACTGCTTTTGTCAAAAAGGGTTTGAGAACATTCCTGAGATCTTGTAGGTTGGTGTAGCAAATACATGTGATTGCATTCTCAATCCCCTCTGCCCCTATTCTGCTGCTGCACATGCAGATGTCAGTTATGTAATTTGTATTCGATAACATCCTGTAAAAATACTAACCTTTTTGGATTTCCCCCCTAAGGTATGATGATTTGACTTTATAAGAACCCTAAGTAACCATGATGGCAACGCAGACATTAAGTATAGACAACTATCAAGATGGGCAACAAGTAAGAACATTTTTAAATGAAAAATGAAAATGTGAAGTGCACCATAGTAGGTAAAAAGAATATGTTAAATAATTATGGTGTCCAAGACATAAAACTACTTCTGTCCGATCTATATTACTTTTCATCTGCTGTTATTTTAATATGGTACCTAAGTCATGCCACTGGCTTGCCCTTTGCCCATTTTCTAGTGCTCTTTAACTGTTTCCTAGAAAGGTAGGAAACAACGGAATTTTCAGAAGCAAAAATTATTTAGGATGGATTCCTTTATATTATTATTATTATTACATTTATCACTCGCTTTATACAATCAAAATTCTCGAAGTGACTTGCCAAGGTAAAATACATGAAAGCAGTTCAAAACCAGAAGAAATATAAAACTATGAACAATACAAAGCATACATAAATTGCTTATCTAGCATTATATTAATAAGGACAAGTCCTACCTACCCAACTCAAAGCTAAGCATCACCATAGGAGGTAATATTAATTAACCAAAGACCCGGATAAAGAAAAAGGACTTAGCATGGTGCCTAAAGATTAACAAGGAAGACTCTAGGCATCTGTTCCTGGGGAGAGCATACCACAGAGCATGCGAGAATAGGCCCAGCACAGCCTATTATGACTGAGACAATGCCCCAGGGAGTCGGACAAAGATAGCTTCCATCACTTGTTACCTGATGCTTTTAACCGGCAGTGCTGGGATCTTCTGCATGCGGTGCATGTGTTCATCCACTGAGCTTCTGCTCTAAACTTGCTGAACCAGGTTTTATTTTGTTTTGTCATTTAGCCCCTCTCTCTCGCACACATGTACACAAAAATTATTTTGTGAAATATTGCCTAAACGTTGCTATCGAACTTGAACTTCTTTAGCTGCTTGGGTTGTCAACCATATAATGTTGTACTTAACTATGCGGTATTTTGACTGTTAGCAATTATTTTGTTGAAAAAATAAGGGGTGGGGGTGGGGAGAAGTGTCTAGGCACCTGATGAGGTTATGTTGTCTTTTTTTACTTTAAGGAAAATATCACAGCATGTGGCCATAAACAAATTTCTAGGTGATTCTAGAGTGGCTTTCCCCCAGTATACAGTACTTCTGATTTTACAGTGGAAGTGACTACTGTACTGTTCCTTGAAATTTGTAAACTAATTACAATGCAATCATATATATTATATATGTTCAGTTGTAAGTCCTGTTGAGGTAAGAGTGCATAGGATTCCATCCTCAGTTTACTTTTGATTTTATATATGCTTGGGTTTGTTCAGCAACTCCAGAAAAAGCACCCAAATAGCTCCTTCTTGCATTCGTTTGGCATTGCTCTTAATGGTTTCACGACTTACTTAGCTATCTCTTAATTTTTCAAATCGTTCAGCTTGTTACAAGATGGGTAATAGCATTTAAACATAATGTTCACTTTGTTCAAATTGTGAAGCAGTAGTCCTATCCAGGTCTTCCACAGCAGTACAAGGGCATGGTGCAGAGCTGCAGCTAGGAGTTACTAGTATCTCCCCAGATTTCACGGACAGAAGAAAATATTGTGACCATAGTCCTACAGTTAGATTGTTTTATTGCCCTTACTAATTAGTCTAATTCATAATAAACTGCAACTTCCTATCAAAAAGTAGATATATTGGATCTTTCTCGTATTTTTTTCACAAACTCTTGAACATATATACAAAAGTCCTTATTTATATTCAGTACAGAACAAACAGTGAAACATTTAATTTTTAATATTGAAACACCTAAAAATAAAGCTATAAGCTTTTCATACAATAATTGTGAAATGGTCCCTCCTTTGCAATATCTCTGAAGAATTATATGCACTCCAGTGCCCAAAATAAAGCCTGAAATCTTAAACATTCTTAATTAGAAATGAGCTCTATTGAGTTTTCAAATAAATGTGTAGCATACAGAATTATTTCTAATGATAATTTCTGTTTGCAAATGACACTTTGCCTATTGCAGATGTTTTCAAGGTCTGCTTTCTTAAAGTGATTTTTGTTGAAGCAGTGTATGTGTAGCTTTATCCAAAAATAGCTGGCTTATGAAACGCAGGATTCTGTAACAGACAATTGACTAAAAGAAACCTACTAATGGGAGTCAAACTTATAGTGACCTTTCCACTATCTTCCTGCCTCCAAATGTTGCAAGGATTAAATGAGTTGTTTGTTAAATGCTTGTTCTTTTTGTGTGGTTGCCAAGTCATACCAACCTTCTGGCAACTTACTAGGCCTTTGGCTTTCTCTTTGCTTAGAAAATGAACCATTTAGTTGTGAATCTATGCTGTTGGCAATATAAAGCATCTTTCTTTTCCAGCAGATGCAAGTAGTAACAGAATTAAAAACTGAGCAGGATCCAAACTGCTTGGAAGCAGATGCAGGAGGATTGAGTCCTTCCCCGGTAGAGTCCCAGACTCCGATGGATGCAGATAAGCAGGCTATTTACAGGTAGCAGTATTCACAAGATGAGCTGTTTCTAGCAGTAAAATGTATCATTCTCTTTAGTAGGTCATGGGTGGTTCTCAAATCATGGGGTGGTGCTTGTGTGTGCAGGAGACATGGAACATGTGGAAGGAGGCACACACTGTTCTAGACATGATAAGACCTTGAGGCTGATGCATCTTTCCCCCCTCACCAGCCAAGCCATGGGTGGGAGTGGGGTTCTCTAGAATATCCTCATTAGATTTGTAGGGGCAACTGCTCCCCCATTCATTGACTTGGGAAAAGCTGCTACTTTGTACTAATGCTGTTTTCCTATTTGTGGTTTTAGGAGGTGTCAAATATAACTTGTTCAAAGTTTGTTCCACATATCAGTGCAGCTGGGGAGGTTGGTGATAGGTTGGGGTACTCAGAAAGTAGAATAAGTTTAGAAGAGGAGGCCTAAGCTTAAATCAGCCAGTGTATTGTAATTTGTCAAGAAGTTCATACATTTGGGGTTTTCTAATTACTGTGAGATGGTTAATACATGTTTTCATGCTTAAGACTGAAATCTATACATTTACAAGAGACTAAGCCCTATTGAGGGCAGAAGGCTTGTGCAGAAGGCTTGTGCAGTAAGTTCTGCTAACTTCTGTTGGCGTTGAACATACTTAAGTGTTCAGGATTGTGACCTGCGTCTCAGGGCAAAGCTTTTTATTGTCTTTGTATTTAGTTATATAGATTTGTCTAAACTTGCTTTCTGTTAGAGCTACATCGTTACAATCTAAGAAAACAAAGAATGGCATCCCTACTAGATTATTTTTTATTTTAAAACATACAATTGTATTAAATTTCAGGCTTTTTAGGGTCTTTATTTGAGCAAAGCTTAATAAAAATGTAAGTGAGACCCAATAGTACAAGCTACCTATCAGTATCATTTACATCAAACTGTGGGATGACATTGATATTTAAATGATTCTATAATTAGCAGTATTTGATCCATGCTAAAAAGAAGAGCAAATAAGGGAAATCACAGTATATTCAGTTCCAATCCTAGCATAGTAATTGCTAATGTAACTTTATTACATTAAATGTAATACTAATGTAATAATCTAAAATAATAGGATTGTATGTATGCAATGTCCAGATTGCTTAGAATTTTTCATCAAACCAACTTGCACATAGACATTTCCACAGACCTACAATTTGCTTGTCTTTTTATTCCTAGACATCCACTGTTCCCCTTATTAGCACTATTATTTGAAAAATGTGAACAATCCACACAAGGATCAGAAGGCACAACGTCTGCAAGTTTTGATGTAGATATTGAAAACTTTGTTAGGAAGCAGGAGAAGGAAGGAAAACCATTTTTTTGTGAAGATCCAGAAACAGATAATCTAGTAAGTAAAAACATTTTAGATAAGATTTCAATTTATTTATAAAATCTTTATATTTGAAAAAAGTAAATTGATACTGAGAAAACTGAATTGTGAAATGTCAACTTAAAGAAGTTGAAATTTACAGCCCTTGGTTGCAGCAGACATTCCCTGTCAGTATTACTGACAGAAGCTCCCCCATCACATAGCAAATTATCAACTTGGCTAGCTTCTTTTTTTAGATAGTTGTTTGTTTGTAGTTAATCTGTCTGCTTCATGAGACTCTTTTGACATATCAATATGTTTTCCAGTGAGTCAGATGTTCTTATTTGTAGGGTTTTGGTTGTTTGCATTTAATTTGCTGTCCTCCTCCACTACTTCCTCAATTCTTTCCATTCTCCTCCTCTCTCCCCACCCACCCAGCTGGGATTTGTGGTTTACATCTCAACAAACCATTTGATTTAATATGGTTGTTTGAAAGAACCCAGATTGGCTCTTTGCTGTGCATGTAGTTCCTTAAGTGGAAACTTCATGATATTTTGTACCTCCTGAGCTTATCTATTGAGCTTATCTCCAGAGGCCCTTCTCCTGGTGCCCCTGCCTTCTGATATGGGGCAGGTAGTGACCAGGTGAAGAACCCATTCAGAGATGCAGCCTGCTTATTGAACACTCTCCTTTGTGTGAACATCCATTTGTGGAATATGGCTTCTACCAAGGGCGTAGGAAGTGGGGGGGGGTGCGAACCACTCTGGGTGTCATCCCTGAGGGGGTGATAAAATGGCAAACTTACCGTGGGGCCTGGCCTGCAGCGTGCCCAGGCCACGCGTCTCTCCTGGGAGTGACATGGTGGCTCGGGGCCGCGCGCTGCCTGAAATGGCAGCGTGGGGCTTGCGTCCGCCAGGCAGACTCTGTGGGCAGCTCGCTGCACCGCCCCGCTGGGCAGATCGCCCCCCCACCCCACCCCACCCCCCTGGGTGGATCACCCCGCTCCCGCCGCTCCAGGTGCCGGAGCAGCTAGCTACGCCCCTGGCTTCTACTTTCCTCTATCCTTCCACACAGCCTCAAAATCCGCTCAAGATTCTTGGGGCGTGTGGGCAGCTGCAGTGGATAAAGATGAGAAACCAGAAGTCCTGTTGTGCAAGTGGATTTTCATTGTGCTCTTTGTGATTCCTTTTTACTCAGAGCTTTTATTCTTTTATGCCTTTTCTGCTTTTAGTGTTGATTACTCCTGATTGTTTCCCACTTTTTCGTCTGCCACTGATAGTAGATTGCATCATCTTGTAATTTTATGTTTTAATTATTGTATTTTTATTCCATAAGTGTAAGCCACTCTGAGGCTGCATTTTCTTAACAAGTAAAATAAATTGAGTGGTTGGCTTTGTGCCAAATGCACATCTGATTGTACTTGAGTTGACACTTGAAGATAATGCATATTGCTATTTCTGATCAGCTCAACTACTTATCATAAGGAAGTTGGGTATGTGAAAATCTCTGCATGTTGTTCATTGGAAACTTGTAGCCTTGTACAAGAAGAAAAATGGAAAAGATGAGCTAAATAGGAGGGTTGCATCATACATGATAATCTGCACAAATCAGATCTGTGAAGAAAAATTCATTTATATAGCCTATACATGCTATGGGCAGTCCCCAGTTTTGTGCAAGCAGTTAACAGTGTACAGTACACAGTTTTCCACATTGAGACAATATATGGGTAGGAGAAAGCAACAATAATTATAAACAACCCTGTTGAAAATAAGCAAAAAAGTAGATCAAACATATACTGTAATGAACAACTTAGCACACTGTAAATGACATATGCAAATGTTTGTTTTCATTGGTTTTTAACTTGTCTCTGAATTCTTTCTCTTTTCCCTCTTTTAGATGGTAAAGGCAATTCAGGTTCTACGAATTCATCTGCTTGAGCTAGAAAAAGTTAATGAGCTCTGTAAGGATTTCTGTAGTCGCTATATTGCCTGTCTGAAAACAAAAATGAACAGTGAAACTCTGCTAAGTGGAGAATCTGGGAGTCCTTATTCACCTGTACAACCCCAGGTACCTTTCATGCTAACTGAAATATATTTTCTTTATTTGATTTATAATCTACATTATCCCAAAGACTCAGGATAGGTAAGATTAGTTTTAAAAACAAACAAATAGCAGATAAAATATAAATTACTATGTTAATATTGGTTGAATTTGTAAACCATGCAATTTACAAATAGATGATCTGTGACTGGCAAGCTAGCAGTTTTTAAGGATTTGTGATATTGTTAAGATTATAAGATCTCCCTTTTTCTTAGTAGTCACATACATGGAAATGTAATTCTTAAAGAATGATCATAATCTATCAACTCTTTGTCTGCAGTCCAGCAACTTTAAACATGATAGAGATAGCTTGGATTTGCTGGAGCAGCTGTCTTCATGGAAAGAGTCACCAGAAAATGTGAGCAGTAGAGCAAAAATGACACGATTATCATTGCACCTCTTTGGCACTACCTCCTTAGCCTAATTTGGGGGTTGGCTTTGTTCATCTCATTGTAGATAATGGCCCCATCCCAGCAAGTGGTGATTTGTATGTAGAAATAGGGTTCTGTGATTGCTCTCTCATCACATACACAAGGCTTCAGGACATAAAATAAAGCTCCTCACATCCCACATCCATGCACATAAGGGCCCAAAAGCTGTGTTATACGAATTCAGATCTCTTGGACTCAAAATTGTTTGCTCTGTTTGGCAGAGTCTGTTATAAGGCCTCAGGTACCTGATACTTTATATCCTTTTATGGAGATACCAGACTTTAAGCCTGGAACCATTTGGATAATATTTTCTCTACCATTGAGCTATGGGCCCTCCTATACATAACACCTATAATGAAAAATGTGTCCATGCAGGCACTCTGTTTTGTTTAATTTATTGGAAAGTGTAAAAAATCAACTGCTACACAGAAGAATTGCTAGTAACTGGAGGAACAGAAGTTGGTAGATAATTTCGTATCTTGTTCATTCCCTATCTTTTCCTTGAACATAAGTCAAAATGCCATCAGAATTGCTATAATTTCAGAGCACACCTCTCAAAACTTTAGCATATGGCTACATTCACCATTCATACCATGAGAGCTCTCCTAGAAGCCAGTCAGACAACATCTGCTCACAAGTTCCATGGCATAAATTAAGTTTATCACGATTAGTATTGAGATACCGGTGTATGTTTTTGAACTTCTTCATTGTGTTTCATTACATCCATCATGCCAGCCCCATGTCAATGTACTAATTGTAAATTGCATTGTCATCTAGACTTACCTTAGATTTGGCTGATACATCAATAAATCAGATAAATTTTAAGTTTGCAAAAGATCCAAAAAGTTCAAATTTTAAGTGCTTGAAACTTTACATTTCCTGTGGAAAACAATGAAACATTGACCATGTTTAATTGTGAGGATTCGTGCATTTTTCTACCATTAACTTTAGAAGGGCTAGAATTTCATCCCCAACAATAAAGTGTTATATATATTCTGATTGTACATGTGGTTGCCATATTTTTTACTTATAACACAATTCTAAACAAGTCTATTCTGAAGTCCCAATGAGTTCAGTAAGACGTACTTCCAGGTAACAGGGTTGCAGCTATAAGCATATTTGCATAACCTTTTTTTTTAAAGAAATGTTGGGATATTCTAAATTATTGTAAAATAACAATTCCTAAATATGTAGTGCATTGACTAAAATTTATGAATTGTCTCTTTTACAAGCACTTTGATTACAGTAGCATGTGACTAGCCTAATATTAAATGGGATAAGCACTGTCAGCTGGGTTACTTCTGATCCAGAATTTGCATATCTGTTCTATATTCTGATAGGTGGTTCAATGTGGAGAAGAAAACCCACACTTGGAAAACCAAATATAAATGCAACATACTGTCACACTGAAATATCTAGGTTATTTACCAACTCCTTTCATTGAATTTCCTTCTCATACTAGTTTCATCACTGTTTTTGATCATACTGGTTGGTAGTGATGACATCATCATTATCCTCATCGGGTTTATGTTTTGAACATCTCATATTTGGTACAGTACCATTTCAACTTAAAGTGACAGGAGCATCCTTTGTTATAAGTTCATGTAATTTTTGTTGTTTACTATTTCTAGCCAATTCAAAGTGCCATCACAGGTACGCTCAGTCCCCAGGGGATTATGGTACCTGCATCAGCCTTGCAGCAGGGAAATGTAACTATGGCAACCGTTGCAGGTAGGAAGCACTGAATAAAAATTCAAACACTGCACTCATCGTAGATGTAGTTTGTGTCTGTTAAGTGACTAAGAAAAGGAATTATTGAGATGACTTTTTGATTACTATGTTTATATGCCGCCTTTCTGCCTGTGCAGTCAAGGTCATTTACAATTTAAAATAATGGCATATAAGCAGGTAGGCATGGTATAAAAAAAGGGGGGGGATGGGGAAGGATGAGGAAAATGAGAACATTCAGTACAAATGCATACAAAATAACTGATAAAATGACCAGGTTGACTGAAGCAGACAGTTATGGGAGGGAGGGAGCCAAGCCAATGAAATGGGCCATGTTTATGGCTCTCCTATTGAAGCAGCCATGTGGAATGTTTGTTTTATTAAGCTTTTTGTATCCTCATTTTTTATTTTTCTGTTGTGAGTAGCCCCGGGATCTTTGGATGAAAGGCAGTATGCAAATTTAATAAATAATAATAATAATGGCTGCTGATGAAAACATTATTATTTTATATTATTCAAATACAAATTATTATGCAACCAGCTGGCCTAGCATCTTCACAATAATGGCTGTATGGAAAGGTGAATCAAATGCAATTGTCTATTCTTCTTTTTAAAAAACAAAAACAAAAAACAAGCTTATGTAAAATTATAGCGAAGTTAAAATTATAGTGAAGTTTTAAAGTAAGTTTTGTGTGTTGTGTAAATAGTTTATTGTTTTCTTTGTTTAATGACATCTATATGAAAATGTTATCATCATACTGTGCCTTTGCTGTAGTGTAATATTGCTATAATATTCTTTTAAGGTGGTACGGTGTATCAGCCAGTGACTGTGGTCACACCTCAAGGTCAAGTAGTGACACAAGCTTTGTCACCTGGAACCATCAGGATCCAGAATTCACAGGTTTGTTTTATATTATAAGCATTTTTTAGTGAAATATTTTAAAAAAACATGGTAATATTATGGTGTGTTAGTAACTGCCTGCTACTTCTGAATCTCTGTGCAGCTCCAGTTACAATTAAACCAAGATTTAAGCATCTTGCATCAAGATGACGGGTCATCAAAAAATAAAAGAGGAGTTCTTCCAAAGCATGCTACAAATGTGATGAGGTCTTGGCTTTTTCAGCACATAGGGGTAAGGTTGATCACAGTGATTTGGGAATCACTACTATTCTGATAATTTCTGCTGGTATCTGCATGAGGGGAAAATGTTTTGGCAAAATCTGAAGCTTTTAACTACCTACTCAGAATATATTAACTTGGTATATTAAGAGTTGAATCAGGCACAAATTCAGTGGATGTCTATTATATAACCTTGTGATCTTAAATTTTAGAGATATTTTTGGTTTTATTACATCATGCTGAGGATTTTTTTTAATCCTGTGCTCCCTTGAACAGTAGTCCTTTGAGGGATATATTTATATCTCTGTTAATCTGAATCAGTTCCTAGGGGGTAGAATGCAGTAGCATGTTTCTTTGTGCAGATTGCCTTACTAAATGTACTCCACACTCTCAAAAGGGGCCTTGTTAGCTTAGGGCAGGGGTCTGCAACCTTTAAGACAAAAAGAGCCACTTGGACCCGTTTCCGAAAAAACAACAACAACTGGGAGCCGCAAAAACATTGCAACATTTAAAACAAATATAACACTACATATATTGTTTCTGGCCTTAATGCTATATATACAGGATCGTGCAGTCAGCTGTCAATCTCAAGAAAAAAGGACAAATTAATAGCTAATTAAAATATTTAATTTACAACCAGGTAACCAGGTTAATGGGACTTTTGCTCCTGAACCTCAGTGCTCAGTGTCTGCACATCAGGGCTGTAAGACGTCACCTTCATTTTCACACAGGCTTGCAAGCTGTCATCTGTGAGGCGTGATCGGTGCTTGTTTTTAATATAGTTCATGTTGGAGAAGACCTGCTCACATACATATGTGGAAGAGACCACAAGGGCCATCGAGTCCAACCCCCTGCCAAGCAGGAAACACCATCAGAGCTCTCCTGACATATGGTTGTCAAGCCTCTGCTTAAAGACCTCCAAAGAAGGAGACTCCACCACACTCCTTGGCAGCAACTCACCAAACTTTCACCTGCTTAAGTTTAAAAAGGGGCTTCAAGCAACTAAAAAGGGGCTTCAGGCAACTAACTCCACGTGGAATTCCACGCGACCGCGACTGCATAATCAATGCCACAAAATGCCAAAGAAAATTAACCAGGGCCCCAGTGAACCATAAGTCATAATCAGTGCCTGATGTAAATAATAATTAATAATGAGGGCCCAATGTCATCCTCGTCATTATAAAAATAATCCCTCTCTTCGTGCCGCCCAGCCTCCCAAGAAAAAAACCCCACTTCAAACGGTCACAAAGCACAAATTCCACGCGACCGCGACTTGCTATGCCCAATAATCAATGCCCCAAAATGCCATAGAAAATTAATCAGGGCCCCAGTGTACCATAAATCATAATCAGTGCCTGATGTAAATAATAATTAATAATGAGGCATTCGTCATTATAAAAATACCCCATAGGACGCTCCGTCCCATAGGACGCACCTAGTTTTTTGGGGGGGAAATAAAGGGAAAAAAATTTCCCTTTATTTCCCCCCCAAAAGCAGGTCGGGGAAACCGAACCAGGTCGAGGAACAGCGGGATGTCGGCGCTGCGCCTCCCTGCTGTCCCCCGAGCTTGTGGGGCTGGCCGATGCCTGCGGGGCGGCAGGCTGCTATCCGCAGCGTGGGGAGCCTTGCCGGGAAGTCCGGCAAGGCTCCCCACGCTGTGGATGTCTGCCTGGCGAGGGGGGCGCTCTGATTTAGGGCGCCCCACTCCGGGCGGCAGGCTGCTATCCGCAGTGTGGGAAGCCTTGCCGGGACCTCCGGCAAGACTCCCCACGCTGCGGATGTCTGCCTGGCGAGGGGGGCGCTCTGCTTTAGGGCGCCCCGCCCGCCGGGCAGCAGGCTGCTATCCGCAGCGTGGGAAACCTTGCCGGGACCTCCGGCAAGGCTCCCCACGCTGCGGATGTCTGCCTGGCGAGGGGGCGCTCTGATTTAGGGCGCCCCGCCCACCGGGCGGCAGGCTGCTATCCGCAGTGTGGGGAGCCTTGCCGGGAAGTCCGGCAAGGCTTCCCACGCTGCGGATGTCTGCCTGGCGAGGGGGGCGCTCTGCTTTACGGCGCCCCGCCCGCCGGGCGGCAGGCTGGTCACCTCCGCCCCTCACCTCCGCCCCTCGCCTCCTCCCCTCGCCACCGCCCCGGAGCCGCAGCAAAGGCTTTAAAGAGCTGCATGCGGCTCTGGAGCCGCAGGTTGCCGACCCCCGCCTTAGGGTCACACATGTTTCCTGTAATACCTACATGCATAGTAAGTTACGTTATGATCTGAAAGGTCAGACAAAAGTTTTTACAGGTTTTCTTCTTAATTCACATGTTATATGTACTTTTGTAAAGAATTCAGTCCCTTTGGCTATATTTTTTTGGAGGTAGGGGAGGAATGCTCAAAAGGAATGCTCCACAGTCCGTGTACACGTGATCAAATTTATTATACTCAGCCCCCTCAAATTGTACTGTTTGGGCAGCAGTATTTTCAGCTCTAGCAGATAGAGCAATATATGTAACAAGCTACCAGTGCTGGTGGCTTCATCCAAAGGTATTAAAATAGCTTGAACTTTCTGCATGGCTAAATGTAATATGTGGTCCAGTATTCCCTTTTGAATGACACAGGTGGCGCTGTGGGTTAAACCACAGAGCCTAGGACTTGCCGATCAGAAGGTCGGCGGTTTGAGTCCCCGCGATGGGGTGAGCTCCTGTTGCTTGGTCCCTGCTCCTGCCAACCTAGCAGTTCGAAAGTACATCAAAGTGCAAGTAGATAAATAGGTACCACTCCGGCAGGAAGATAAACTGCATTTCCATGCGCTGCTCTGCTTTGCCAGAAGCGGCTTAGTCATGCTGGCCACATGACCCAGAAGCTGTACGCCGGCTCCCTCAGCCAATAAAGCGAGATGAGCGCCGCAACCCCAGAGTCGGCCACGACTGGACTTAATGGTCAGGGGTCCCTTTACCTTTACCTTATTCCCTTTTGAACTGTACTGCATAACATCTTATGATACTAAAAGGAGACAAAACCAGGTCTGTATTAATTCTTAACAGTTCCTGATAAATTACTAGAATTACTATACTAAGTACATTATAGATAGTACTAGAAATAACTATGTTTCTCTTGTAGATTTTTAATTGGTAATGCTTTTATTTAACTCCACGCGGTATTTTATCCCTACCATATGACACAATGTGATAAATCCAGCTTTATCACATGCTGTGTTCCCCAAGGATCATGCCATCTAGCAAGGACAGCTGGGAGAATAATCCCCTCCCCCACATGGACATTTAAGGATAAAGTTATATTGTTAATTCTTTTTAAAAAATAATGTAGTGGTCAGCCTGGTTATCATTTGAAGGTTGATGTTGAAGTCCTTTCTGGCTTTCTTTTAGGTTTCATGACTTCACTGGATATTAGAATTGCACAGAGCTAGGTTAAAGATGTTCTGAAGCTAGCACTTGCCTTCTTTTTTTCCTGGGAGGGAATTTTTTTATTGCACCCATTTAAATAATAAATGCTTGACAGTTTACTATCTACTTCTTCTGTTACTGTGCTAAGCATTTTAATAATCTCAGTTTATATTTCACCCAATTACTAATTGTCTTATCAGTTATGCCTAAACTGGGCCATTAACTGTCAATCAGGGATATCAGCAAAGATTGGTCTGCCAGCTATTATGCTGACAAGATAGGGAATTTAAATTTTCTGTGAGAATTCTGGGAAAAAAATACATTCATTACATCTGGGGGAAACTGGCTAGTTCATTTTATGATTTCATAAAAGTTAATATAGCAACAAAAAATTGAGACTAAAGGGTTTTTTAAAAAGTACAGAGGAAAAAGAGTATGGAGATCCCTGCAGGTGACAGAATCCTTGAGGTTATTGTAGATTTCCTTTCCCTTGCAGTCTTTTTCAATTCCTTACCTGTGAATAATTTTTTTCTGGGAACTAGCGCCAGAGACTATAGAAATTGGAGTACTAGGGAAGAGAATGCGTTGGTTTTTGTAATAGCAGTGAGTATTTTAAGTTCAAGGGACGCAGGTGGCGCTGTGGGTAAAAGCCTCAGCACCTAGGGCTTGCCGATCGAAAGGTCGGTGGTTCGAATCCCCGCGGCGGGGTGCGCTCCCGTTGTTCAGTCCCAGCGCCTGCCAACCTAGCAGTTCGAAAGCACCTCCGGGTGCAAGTAGATAAATAGGGACCGCTTACTAGCGGGAAGGTAAACGGCGTTTCCGTGTGCGACTCTGGCTCGCCAGAGCAGCGATGTCACGCTGGCCACGTGACCCGGAAGTGTCTCCGGACAGCGCTGGCCCCCGGCCTCTTGAGTGAGATGGGCGCACAACCCTAGAGTCTGTCAAGACTGGCCCATACGGGCAGGGGTACCTTTACCTTTACCTTTATTTTAAGTTCACAGAAGTAGGAGTCTAAATAATAATGTTCCTTTCATTATTAGAGTAATAAATAATTATCTGTAATCGGTATCATAAAATCAACATATTACATAAAACAATGAAAATTTCAATCTACACATATGAAATCATTGTGATGTGTGTTGTCAAAAATTAGTTTATCTGGTCAGAAATTATCTAATTAGCATAGAATTAATCCCACACTAAATTGTATTCCTTTTGCTTTATGGTTGCAGATTTTTGTATTGTGCTTATTGCATATCTTTAGCAAGTTCTTATAACTTTTCCATCCCCCTTCCTGTCTGTAGCATCCATATCCAACAGAGGATGAGAAAAAACAGATAGCAGCACAAACCAATCTGACATTACTTCAGGTTAACAACTGGTAAGATACAACGAATATGCCACTTTTTTGTGTTACAAAATTCACCTATGTTGAAAAGTCACATAGAAATATGCAGCATTTTCCTTTGGGCTGCTATGTAAAGCTAAAACTGGACGGGATTGATGTAGGGCAGAGGTGGTCATGGGCCAGATCCTTACTGGAATCATCCTTGACAAGTGAGTATGCCACATGATTGACAGGTGTGTTGTCCTGCCCAGCTGTGAGAATACCTTGTGCAGGATTTGCATTTTGGTACCACTTTATCAGGCTCATGTTCTGTGCTTTGGGAAGATCTGAACAAAGGGCTGGCAAAGTGATTGTTTCCCCACTCCTCTCCTTTGACAGGACAGGAGAAACAAGGAGCACCTGGACCAAGCAGAATCACCCTCCCTTCACATTGACTAATGTTGTGTGGAGGCAGGCGATCCTGCTAAGCACTGAATTTCAGTATGCCAAAAAGCTCCCTGCAGGGAACTCTCTACCACACCCAAAGGCAGCAGAATCAAACTCCCTTTGTATCAGCCAAGTGTGTGTGTGATCCTGCTTAGCACTGGGCTTGGGTATAGAGAGTCTGATTTTACGGATGTCTTCATAAGATTCATTTTTGGTCATTTTAGGTTTATCAATGCTAGAAGACGAATTCTTCAGCCAATGTTGGACTCCAGCTGTTCTGAAACTCCAAAAACAAAGAAGAAAACAGCTCAAAACCGACCAGTTCAAAGGTTCTGGCCAGACTCCATTGCATCAGGAGTAGCTCAGCATCAATCAAATGAACTTACAATGTCAGATGGTGAGCAGATTCCTCAGCTACTTTATTTACTCTTTGCAAACTGGATGTTTTAGAGACTCTCCTGAGCCTGTCAGACAATTTCGCAAACAGTTTGTATGAAAGAAAAGGGTGCAATCTCTCTAGTAAAAATAAACCCTTGAAGTAATAATAATAATAATAATAAATTTTATTTATATCCCGCCCTCCCCAGCCGAAGCCGGGCTCAGGGCGGCTAACAACAATAAAACAGTACAAAAGTACAACATAAACAACATTCTAAAATCATTCATTATAAAAATTAATTAATTCAAGCCACTAGCAACCATTGGGCCAGAGCTCCGCGAAGATTGCCGAGGGAGGGAGTCAGGCTGTGCCCTGGCCAAAGGCCTGGTGGAACAGCTCTGTCTTGCAGTCCCTGCGGAAAGATGTCAAGTCCCACAGGGCCCTGGTCTCTTGTGACAGAGTGTTCCACCAGATCGGAGCCACAGCCGAAAAAGCCCTGGCTCTAGTTGAGGCCAGCCTAACTTCTCTGTGGCCTGGGACCTTCAAGATGTTTTTATTTGAAGACCGTAAGTTTCTCTGTGGGGCATACCAGGAGAGGCGGTCCCGTAGGTACGAGGGTCCTAGGCCATATAGGGCTTTAAAGGCACCTTAAACCTGATCCTGTACTCCACCGGGAGCCAGTGCAGCTGGTATAGCACCGGGTGAATGTGATCTCGCAGCGAAGACCTCGTAAGGAGTCTCGCTGCAGCATTCTGCACCCGCTGGAGTTTCTGGGTCAGTCTCAAGGGCAGCCCCACGTAGAGCGAGTTACAATAATCCAGTCTGGAGGTGACCGTCGCGTGGATCACAGTGGCTAGGTCAGGGCGAGAGAGGTAAGGAGCCAACTGCTTAGCTTGGCGGAGATGGAAAAATGCCGCCTTTGTTATAGCTGCAATCTGCGCCTCCATGGAAAGGGAGGTGTCGAAGATTACACCCAAACTCTTAACGGACGGTGCTGGCACTAATTGCGCCCCCGCAAGAGATGGGAGTTGCCCCCCCAATCCCATATCGCCCCGTCCCAGCCACAGGACCTCTGTCTTCGAAGGATTTAGCTTCAACCGGCTCCCATGTAACCATCCAGCCACAGCTTCCAAACATCTGGTCAGTGTGTCTGGGGCCGAGTCAGGATGGTCATCCATCAACAGATAGAGTTGGGTGTCATCGGCATACTGATGACAACCCAGCCCAAAACTCCGAACAAGCTGGGCGAGGGGGCGCATAAAGATGTTGAAAAGCATCGGGGAGAGTATCGCACCCTGTGGTACTCCACACACCAAGGAGTGGCGCGATGACAATTCCCCCCCAAGCGCCACCCTCTGTCCCCGACCAGAGAGAAACGAGCGCAGCCATTGAAGGACTGTGCCCTGGATCCCCACGTCGGCAAGGCGGTGGTCCAGAAGTTCGTGATCGACCATGTCGAAAGCTGCTGATAGATCTAGAAGAATCAGCAGCCCCGACCCGCCTCGATCCAGCTGTCTACGAAGATCATCTGTTAGGGCAACCAGAGCCGTCTCAGTCCCATGACCAGCGCGGAAGCCGGACTGGAATGGATCCAGAGCCGATGTTTCATCCAGAAACCCACCAAGCTGTTCAGCAACCGCTCTCTCAATCACCTTACCCAGGAACGGAAGATTCGAAACCGGGCGGTAATTGGATAGATCTAAAGGATCTAATGATGTTTTCTTTAAGAGCAGGCGCACCACTGCCTCCTTCAGTTCCCCTGGGAATGTCCCCGTGCCAAGGGACAAATTGATGATATCCCCCAGGAGGGCCCGCACCTCGTCTGGACACGCTCTAATCAGCCAAGACGGGCACGGGTCGAGAGGACAGGTGGTGGGCTTTCCAGCTCGGTGGATTTCAGAGCAATTCTAACCCCCAACTTGAAGCACTGCTGCTCACACTGTCAAAGACTTGGGGGCAGTTTCCTCTTCTGCCGTGCCAGCTCCAGGCTGGGTCTGAATTGGGCCTCTTTTCTGGCAGCCGGCCTGCTAAGGATCCATCAGATTCATCCCCAGCCCTGCTTCAGCACAGGAGCACCCTGCTTCGGGGGTCTACACTAGTTACCACCAGTGGGAATACAGCTGGAGGTAACTGCCCAATCAGCTATGCTTTCAGCATGGGCATCTGCAGCCAGTGGAGCCCACCAGAGCCAAGTAGATGGACACCTCTACCCAGCTGTAGCTCCCTCCATCAGCACTGATCAGGCAGTTAGGAATATGCCCTTAGCATAGCAGCAGTTCTTCATGGATCACATGATCCATGTGCCAAATTGGATTATTTCTCCCTCCTATGTACCGGCACCATTCATATAAACAGAGGTCTGTAATGGCTCAATGTGGTTAAACATGCCTGTGTCTGGTACACACTTTCAGCCTCACACATGTTTATTCACAAGCAAGTTCCACTTTGTTCACTGGGGCTTGTCCTCAAGTAATTGTATATAGAATTGTAGCCTTAAAAGTTAACAGCTTTGGGATTGCTTTTCATTGGCTGCCCAATTATAAAAGCACAAACCCACTGTTTATTAAGCTAAATGAGAAACGTGTTCCAAGATGTTCAAAACTCAGAAATCTCAATAGACTAAAACTGACATCTCTGTTTCGAAATTACTTGTATGGAGAAAGATAATTCAAATAGCTTGTTCAACTTTCATTCACTTTTAATTTTTAGATCTTTGGCTTTCATTAACAGGTTTTTCAGAGTAAGAACTGTGGCTTTTGTAAAAGAATTGAATTGTTGTTCCAACTGGACCCTTGTTTTTCCTCCCCATTCTCAGGAGCCGTTGTAACAATTACAGCCCCAGTCAACATGAATGTAGACAGTCTGCAATCTCTTTCGTCTGATGGTACTACTTTGGCTGTTCAACAAGTCATGATGGCAGGGCAAAGTGAGGATGAATCTGTGGACAGCACTGAAGATGACGGAGCAGACCTCTCAACCACAAACATCAGTGGGCTGGTCTTGGATAACAGTGATTCTCTGCAATAGGAAGCAAGAGAATCTGGCCTAAATATATAGGAAAACAATAGACTGACTGACTTTTTATAGTTTGCACAGCAAACATTTTACACAAGTTTTATTTCTAATATGTTTTATATGTAGATATAGAAGAGTGCACTTTTTGTATTTCATAGTCGGCTTAAAGAGTGTCTTTACAGGTGCAGCAACTTCTTTCAAATGTGTTGTTTTTGGTTTTGGTTTTGAAATTCTAGTAATTTAAGAGAGAGAGAAAAAACATAATCACCCCATTATTTTCTCAGGGTAATTTTTTCACTCACAAAATTGATCCCAGATTCCCCTAATAAGGGAATGGGGGGGGGGTCATGGGACTGCAGTCCTGGGGGAAAGATGATGGATGCCTCGCGGGTGAGTTAATTTTACATTAGCATGGGTTTAAATATATACCCATCACACAATCATCATCTTACTCAATGGTTGCTGTTGTCTATCATCCTCTCTGCTGCAGTTTTGTGACATATGAATTGCCCTGGTGGGAGAATTTGAAAGTACTTCAGTCTCCTGGAGAGTTATGCAATTAGTCCTGTCATTTTAAGATTACTCTAGGTGGTTTAACAATGTAAATGTGAAGCATGTCAGACTAGTGTTTGGGATTTGTTTATGAAGTTAGCCATGTAGATTTGAAAGATGCTTCTGCACCTTAAAAAAAACCTGCCAGTCTGAAATGGGCAACAAAACACATAAAAGAAAGTGGAAACGTGTGAGTCAGTAACAAATGTATGGCATTTAAAATGAACTTAATTTCTCATTTAGTTGTTTGGTGGAAACCCTAGATTCCCCCTGTACCTTTGAATTTTGTCAGTGACACAGCTGCTACTTGTCGTTTTATCCACCTGCCCTGTGGCATGCTGGAATCCTACTTGAAATATGTGGGGTTGCGATGGCGGGGAGGGCAACAAAGGAAGTGGAATGGGCAAAAGAAGCAGTGAGTGTCCCAATTTATTAGTAGATTTAATGGTACAAGGGGGATTTCTGGATTGCAACTTAGCAGCTCTACTCATAGCTAGTGAGTCTGTTCATAATTTGCTATAAAACACTTATTTTTACCTTATCAGGTTATCGGAGTAAAATATTTTTATAAATTCTCTAAGAATTGGGATGATGACTGTATTGAGCATGAGAAAAATGTTTAGTACTCCTATTTGGAAGGTTATGAAACAGTCCAAATTGAATAAACATGCCTATGTCATATTCTATGGATCTCTGCTATCCCATAGTAGCACAGCCTATTGTGGCATAAAGTGGTGATGTGAGAAGCACCCAGTCCCTAATGGGGTCTTGGTTATTGTTTAGCATTGATTTGTGTTCCGTATAAACTAATGTTACATTTCAGTCTATATCGAAACCTGTTTCTCAAGCGAATTGATAAATCGGTATGCATAGGGAGTAAAAACCCACAATCTTGCCTTATAATCAAGATAAAATCTATAGCAGTACACACTTCGTACCTGTTGACAGAACATGGATATTAGCCTCTGAACTGCGATACATCTTTCCCCCAGACTATTGCCACTTCTCAATTGTTGTTTTTATAGCCAATGTATGTGATAAGGTTAAGATAAAAATGAATTTCTCAAGCACAACCTTACTTGCACAATCTCAACAATGCTTCAACATACTAACTATACCATTCAGCACTCAAAAATAGTGATGATAAATTAGCCTTCACCATAAATGTCATTAGCTCCCCATCCCATACCTCTTGAGTTTGTTTATAGTCTTGTGTGTACTGCCGCTGACACTACTGGGAGTTGGTATTTTCCCATTGCTTGCCTTAGATAATAGGCCCTGGGGACTTGGTTAGCTATTTGGAGGAACTGGGTGATGTTATCTGCACCAACAAAATCCAGATTTATCTCTAGCTGAATGTGATAAATTAACTTGGTTGGAAGTCCTGATTCAACGAAGCCTTCAAAGAATTTGTTTCCCTGGGGTTTTGGGGTGGGCTTTAAAAAGAGTTGGTACCTCTTCACTAGCCCTATTTTCCTGTATAGGTAAGTCTGAAGTTGGGAAGAACAAATCACATTTTTATTGTGTTACCTCTAGGCTATATCAGACCCAATCCAAATGTTATGGTGACAGCATGGCTCTATCTACTTGATAGAGGTTCTTTTACGATCCATAATCAATTTCCCACAAACATGGCCTGGGTGAGTGATGTCTCTACGCCATCATTATTTGCCTGTCCAGGTAGCTTAGCACTGGTATAGACAGCACAAGATCTGAGATGTTATGTTAACCAGCCCCTACTATACAGAAGTGTTGTTTTTTTCATTGACAACCACACTACTACAATTAATGCTCAACTAGACCCACTTTACAGAGTACATGTCTTATTTTTATCTCATATTCCATAGGTACTCTCCTGATCACCAGATAAGCAAGGCAGCAGACAGAGGTTGACAAGAGTGCTGTGATCTCCATAGCCTCACAAGGGGAGGAAAAATACAGCCTTAGAAAGCTACGAATGCAAAGCAAGGAGACAGCCGAGAGATGACAACCTTAGATAAAGAATGTACTGAAACACTTTGCATAAAGCCTAGATAGACACCACACTCACTTTTACAGTTGTGTGAAAGTTGGGTTAACCCATTATTTCTTTTTCATGCTTTTTGAAATTTTCTGAACAGTGTTAAGATGTGAAAAAATGTTTACAAGAGGTTTGTTTGAGGAAACATTAGTATAATGTAGCAAGTTTATATAGGAATAATACCATTAAAACCACAACATTTAAACACCACCACTGAAAGAGCTAATGAAATGCAACGAACAATTGTGCATCTAAACGTACCATAACTCAATGGTAGTCTGTTCATTGTGTTTTATTGGCTTTAAAATAGTTACCTAGGATAGCACCCTTTCTTGACTTTTTTCGGTAGCACTTCATACAACCCCCCTTTTTTTTCTTATACAAAAACATTTCCCTGTTTTAGCTGCATATTTCCACACTGTCTGATATTAGAAAGTGTTAGCAAGTGATAGACCCAAAGCAACATTTTCTTTTCATTTGTAAAACGCCTAGACTCGAAATGCTTGTGATGTAATTCAGAGCAAAAACAGGCTTTCTGAAAGTGTAAAGGGGATTTGGGGCAAAGGCATGTCGAATGGAGTACCCAAGACATATTTGCAGGTGGTAGATTGTGGCCATTTTAAGTAAAAGACAGAGGGCAGTTGCAGCTCACACTTGGATCTGCTCTCACCCTTTTGGGTTTTTTCCCCCAATTTCGGCTGTAGGGATTAAAACCACTGTGATGGGCTACCTGCATGCAAACAGTTTACTGCGCAAAGTATTTTCCACATGACATGAGATTATATTGGCTGCTGTATGCCCTTTTAAAATACAAATCAGCCAAATGCTGTTGAATTTCAAAGAGAGGCCTCCCCTGTAAGCTGGCTTATTTAACAAAAGGAAACCAAACCATTCTTCATTTATTTCATAGCCTCTGAAGTATATATTTTAATGTTAAATTCATTTGCACATGTCTTTTCTCACAGCCATGGTTAACAGATCTAGAAATCTCAAAATTGGAGCATGCCAGCTAGTAACTAATATGCTGTGACTTCTGTGAAGACAAAACAATCCCACATTAAGCAAATCATCAGTATCTTTGGGATGGATATCAGTTTGATGGTTCTGGGTTTGGACTCCAACTTTCTGCTGAGTTCTGGACATGGGTCTTCTACCCTTCAGCACAAGCAAATTCTTGATATACCTGAAACTGGGAGGTGGCAAATGCTCTGCCTTTCTTTGCTGAGTTGTGTTTTTGTTTAGTTTCATTGCAGTTGGTTCGAACAGTTATAACATCACTGAGCTAGAAATTGCAGCTCTGCCCAGATACCGTGAAACTTTCTCTTATCCACAGAAATGTTTGGAAAAGCATTGCTGGACTTAAGAAGAATTTAAACTCTTCAAAACTTGATATCCAAATACATGCGAGCGAAGTAATCATTTTCAATCATCGCATTAGATGAATGAGTGTAGTTTATTTTGATGTGTCTTATAATGGTGCTATTATTTATGACTGGTGTATGTATTGGCATCCTTCTCCTGAGATGGTAGACTGATCCACCAAAACAGAATGGTATTCTAGTTTTACTCAAAGTCAAACTTTATGAAATGAATGGACCTACCTTAGTCATCATGTCCTTACCTTCAACAGGTCTCCTTTGAGTAAAACTCAGTTGAATGCCACGCACGGTTAATAAAAATAAACTCTGCAGTAGGTGTCCAGAACTAGCTGTATGCTTGCTATACCATTAATGTGCAAAAAACAGGGCAGAAGGCTTGAGCTGTGTTTTTGGGATAGCACTGTAGTCCGGCCATGTATGGTCAAAAGGACATGTTAAAAAAATTCTTGTAGTACAAGAGAAAGGTACAGAAGATGTTTTGGGATTTCCAGTTCAACTGTAGGAAAGTTAGTATCATTTTAATGAGGTAGTATCTCTACAAAGGAACCCAGAAGTGGACCACTAATCCAGGATTCATGATGAGATTCAGGCTGCATCAGCCAATCATGGTGTGTTCAATTACATGTATCACATTTGGTAGAAATGTGCTAAGCATCCATTTCTCAATACTTAATGTGCTTTACTTTCTCTTTGAAACATATTGGATGTTACTGATGATTGGAATGCCATTACAAGTGGAAGTAGATTGTGTTTACCAAACCCAAATTACATTTTCTTAAACTTGTTTAACATTTTGAGGAGACTTTTGCTTCAGTGACAACTAGAAAAGGCTTTTGACTGTGTGTGTGGTTCCAACTCATTCATATGCCTACTCCTTTGGATTGTGGCTATTATATAGGTCAATGACAACTGCTTTTACAAGGGCATGTCTGCCTGTGATAACAACATTATACAAAGTAGACTCTTTATAGCATATTTAAATATTGGTTTGTTGATGCAGGAAATACAAAGGAAAGCACGCTAGACTTTGAGGTCCATAACCTACGCAGGATGAATGATTATGGGTTTTGTCTGCAAAATAAGTCATTGGAGCCCCATTTCTAAAAAAGGTTATAGTATCTAATCCTTATGTTTTGGGTACTTGCCATTTGTTAGAGTCTGTGTATTTTGGCAGAGAGAAAAAACATGACTTCAGTTGTATCAGGAAATATTTTATCTTCATAATTGACAATCTTTAAAATCTAAACTCTGATAAACTTAGTTGTTCAGTTTGTTTTATCATTTAATGAAATATTTGAACCAGCATGGCAAAATAATTATGATTCATCAATGTGTTTTACATGAAACCTCTGAACTCAAAGCATGATTTCTTCACTTTGTGTTTTAAAAGTAAAGTTTCACATTGCTTTAATTAAGGTGAATTGTCACATTACTGTGTTCCTGTTTCAATACTCTATAATGCAGATATCAATTTTGTTTTTCTTTTGTACATCAGTTTTGTTTGGAAATCCTTCCCCAGGTCTTTAAGTTGGAAAATATTTTGCATGTTTCTTTACACAAGTCATTATTTAGATTATAGGAGTGAAAATGCAACATTCTTACTGATCTGGGAATGTTGTGTTTTTAATTGTAACGAAAAGCTATGCAATGAATTAGTTCAAAACATTTTCTCTCTTTGTTGTTCTGAAATAAAAGTGAAAGGGATATCAAACTTTTAAGTCCTTTAAAAAGACCATTTAGAAGGTCCTACCCCATCCCAAGCTAGTTTTTTTAAAATTTCCAGTTAGGATCATAATAGGGCAGTCTTATGCATATCTACTCAGAAGTTAAGCCCCAGTGAGGTTAATGACACCACCTGGTAATTGTGTATGATTTCAGGCACAATATTTGTAGAATACTGACTCCCAAGAGAAATGGTAGTAGCTATGTGGATAAAATATTGAAACAAAATACTCTTATGGGGCCTGTTACTAAGATACTTGAGACTCACTACTTACTGAACGTTCATGCAGATGCAGCACTGAGAATCAAGTGCCCTTGCTTTTAAAATTTTATTTCTTTGTCATAGATAGCTTGTTTAATATTATAATACTATATTTGCACTAGTCCATCACCGTGCTGACCCAACTGGGGGATCTGTAGCATCCTGGATTTTCATGAAGGCAGGGCAGGGGCGTAAAAGAGAAGGCAGGTTACACAACAGCTGTGGTGGTGGCATGGGAGCATGAAGGGACTGACACTGAGAGGCAACAGGAAACAACAGGAAATATCTGAATAGATTGGGGAGGGAGAAACACTGAGGCATTTGGCTGTTGGTTAGTTGTTTAAAAATGTTTTTACCAAGGAGAAATAATAGAGATGGTTATGATACAGAAGCCAACGTCAGAAAGCCAGCACAGCAACTTGCTTCTTGCTGTACTCAAACCTTGTTTTAGACCACTGTTTCTTTCCTCTCAGAATCTCATTCAGCTTGCTCTCCTCAGACATTTGCCATTGTTTGAAAACCCCTTTCCCCTTCAGCGCTGTTGCATCCCTGTTTTACTCAGTCCTTCCCTACTTCCACTCAGCTGCCTCATAGTGAGAGGTAAGAGTCCTCAAATTTCATTTCTGGTACCATGTGTTGTCTGCTACACAAAAGGCTCACCACACTTCTGCTTCTGCTCTGCCTAGAAAGCACAGGTCTAAGTAGTTTTCCCCTTGCCCTGCTTCTTCCCAAGGGAAAACTCCTTAGCAATAGATCAGAACAAATAGCAACCCAGGGAAAACCCAAATTGCTGTTTGTGCTGATTGAGCACTAAAGAGCAGTTTTCTCCAGGGCAAGAGGAAGTGTGGATAAGCCCAAAGTTCCACATTCAATGCAGTAATCTAGGACAGGCATTTTATTATCAAGCAAACACCCATACAGGTGCAACATCCATCACTTAACCTTCTGCAGCTGAACAAACGAACAGCCTTGCTCTATTAATCTTAAACATACAGTAACATATATTTGCAGAAGTGTGATATAGGAGGGAAGAGGCATGGAACAGGGGTTGTCTCTATGCAAAGAAGAGTTGGTAAGGGGGGGTGAAAATTGTGTGTCTGCGCAAAGGGAGCTGCAGGATAGTAGGTTGGTATGGAAATGGGGGTGCTCTGTCTGGAAGGGGTAGTTGGAGAGAGGGAGGGGAAAGGGTGAAGGTGAAAATGGGGGAGTGCAAAGGAGGGTTGCTAAAAGCGGGCAGGAGGCATGGGCATGGGGTGAAGATGAAGGAGCAGGGGTGGCTTCATAATTGGGTGGAATGAGAAAAGGGTGCTTAGTAGTTGCAATGTGTGGGAGGATGGAGATGCAGGAGATGACCCTGGAGTTGGCCTGTGAACAAGGTGGAGGTTGCGGAAAAGGAAAGGGGAGAAGGCATGGACTTGGGGGTGATGTTGAAAACACGTGCAGACCAGACTTCAAAACAGAAGGGAGACACTGGGATGATTTCTTGATTCAGCAAGCAAGTGTCTTGTGGAGGGATTGTCGGGGAGAGGAGTATATAAGTGCAGTATATATAAGAGCAGGGTGTCATAGTCCCCCTTGTATTGTAATAAGAACAATCCAGTTAGCCAAGAGCAGCCCATATTGGAAACCAAAAGGGGGGGGATTGTAGTCTTTCGTGTTGCTATGATCCCATTTTGTTAACTCAGAAGCAGGATGCATAAGCAGCAGCTTCAAGATGAGTGCATGCATTCAATGTGTGCAGCTGCTTTTTTGCAGTTCTGTACATGGATATTTTGCCCACAAGCGTTTGGGGGTTCTCTTCCTGGCGTTTTCTCATTGTATGGCATGCATGGATGATGATGATGATGTGCTGTCCCCCTTTGTCAGTGATTTCATACTTGCTTACTGTCTCTAGGTGCCACTATAGTGCTGATTGCTTCGCTGCTCACTTTAGCATATGTGAAATGCAACAAACTCTAGAGTGTCCTGGCCACTAGGAGATGGACTTCTGTAGCATCTGGGGGGCCACAGGTGCCCCATCCCTAACGTAAGGGCCCCATTTAGCATTATTCAAAACAGTTGTTGATAGATAAGTCTTCTATGAATTGGTTTAATCCGCTTCTAATGCCCTTTAAGCTAATGATAATCACTACAACGTTTAGGAATGAATTGCATAAATGATTTCTGTGTTGTGTGGAGACATATTTTTGCTGCTTCAGAATCCCCAGACAATGAAATTTCTTTTGATGCCAAGTTCTAGTATTTTTGACAGAGGGAGAAGAACTTCCCTTTATTCATTATACCCAAGCAATTTATACACTGTAATTTTGTAGATAATGTGAAGAGAATGGAGTGAGAATACATACTAGTTATGACCCCCCCCTCACTGGATTGGGGCATAACAACGATTGCAAAAAAATAATCAAAATATCCCAAACCATAAAACTTTGCCATTTTTGCTTTTACAGAAAGCCAATTAATGGCGCCACTTAGCAATTGCATCGCATTTGGGTATGCCAAGGTTTCCTCATTTATGCATGTAATATGTTATTAACCATTATTATCACAGTTAATTTTCAAAATTCCAAGCATTTCCCATATTTGCCTCAACCAAAGAATGGTTTAAGTAAGGATCCAAACATATTTCAACTCCAATCTTTATTATTATTTTTATTAAAATAATACCATAGATTATGTAACTCTTTAATTCTTAGGAAAAGTTCGTTGACATTCATGAGAGCTGATGTAGCTTTAAGATTCTGGCACTGAACTAGATGACCCTCAAGGTCCCTCTCAAAGCTAAAATTCTACTACTGTATTCCCTAAAAGACCAGGATGCTTATTTAGTAATGCTATGGAACTACCACCACCCAGCTCCCACGATACAGGGCACTTTTTACCCTAGCGAGCATTTAGAGGTTAAGGTGCACTGAAGCTGCCCCCCATTTGGGGGACATTTACAAATTTTACATTCTCTTTCAATGACTTCACCAGCAGGTACAAAATTTTCATCATCAGTGGGACAAGCGCACATTCCACAGCCATCCTGGGGTCTTCCTATATACTTGCAAGCTGGAGAAATCTTAGGGCAAGTGGAAGCACAGACGATGTTATGATCTTCTCCACAGGTACACTTTCGGGTTCCAAAGTCAATAATCACAGACTGTCCCAGGAGAAGGATGCCATCTTCATAGCCTTCCTGGATACAAGCTTCCTTCAGAAACGCAGGGCACTTGCACTGAGGGATGCAGCGCGGACAGCACTGGTCCTTACGGGTCACGGCTTTGTGATTGTCAGGACAAGCTAGGCAGAGAACAGCAGTACAGTCTGGCCTGGGATGCTTGCAGTCACCATTTTGTAGGAAGCAGCAGCTCAGCAGCAGGCAGAGGAAGTGCTTAGGCTTCATTACTCTGGATCAAATGCAAAGAGGTCCTTTTAGCAGCATAGCAATTTTTGCTCATTCAGTGCTTTCTATTATCTCGCCCAACTTTGCCTTTTTAAATACAGAGCCAATTTACATAGCGTTTTCTCACACCAGGGGCACAAACACTGATTACATAGCACATTGCGGATTGGCTCACAGAATCAGCCACACTGGAGCTCAGGGTACACTTCCCAATGGATTGCCTTCAAAGCAACATGCTGCTCTTGATAGTTGCCTTCTCCCGTCTCCGATGATACTCGGACCACTTGTACAAGGAAGTGCCACTTACAACCCCTTTGGGCCCCGTTCCTGCTGTGTGTGTGTGTGTGTGCAGTTATAAAATGTATTAAATTTCCAAGCCTTAGCTTCATAAAATTTGAGGAGTGCTAAAAATTGGTAACATTCTGTCAAAAACCTATTACTGCAGAAGGAAGGATCTTGTGCAGCTCTTTCTATTTCTTAAAAACAGCAAACTGTCCTTCAGATGCAGTCAGCATTTCTAACTTTATTCCATGATAATAAAGGGGAATGCATTGGGTCAAATGCTTAGCTGATCTATGAAAAGGGGAAATAGCTTTAGTTTACCTGGATAGGCTTCAGGTGTGGGTGTTGCAAGTGGTTTGGTCCCCAGGTAGTGATATTTCCTCAGTAGCTGTTCAGCTGGAAGGTATGCTATTTATAATGTCACAGCAGAGGGAAAACCCATAAACCTGAACAGCTGGGAGGAGCTAAGAGCCCTTTCTAATTTATTACCAGTGGGTCTTTTATTATAGTATTATTTATTGTCAAAAGAGTTTTTATATTCCATATTATGTAAGCAGAAAGAATATACAATTTGCATTCTAACAGCTGGGATCCTCTCTATTTATCTATATAAGAAAGTGTCTTAAATTTAATGTAAGTACATCCTGTAACTATACAGAACTATAGTTACCGTATTTTTCGCTCTATAACACACTCCAGACCATAACACGCACGTAGTTTTTAGAGGAGGAAAACAAGAAAAAAAATATTCTAAACGAAA